ACGTTCGTCATCTGGCTGTCATTCTTGTGTCAAACAGTTAAGAAAACGCGAAAATGTCAAACGCGAAAAAAAATTTGACAGTAGTAGGGATTTTAATTTTTTCAGGAAAAAAAGGACGCGTCTCTTTTTCTCCCTTTTTCGTCACTCCCAACTCACACATGACGGATCCACCGAATCAAACAGAAATCCTGCAAGAGCTTGTGTCGGCTGTACGTGATTTACGTTCTCAGCTTGCTCAGCAGCAACAGCACACTGTGCGAAAAACCAAATATTCAGTATTTATATATTTTAGTATGAGTTAAATAGCGATGTTGATCAGAATTACTCTATACCTTAAAGGAACATTATATTTTTACTTTGTTTTATGGCTATCTCATTATATGGTATAGGAAACAAAGAACAAACCACTTCGGTAGTACACAACCTTGCGGACACCCCCACAAGTGTAATTGTATAGGATGTGTGGAGCCCGATGAGATTAAAAATAGAAGGGGTGTCCGTATCAAAAGCCTAATTCTTATGCCCCATATTTTACCTTTAGTCCGAAGAGGAGTACGGCCTGTGCAAATTACGTTGCGCGCCACGTTGGACAAGATTCCTGCAATTTCATGCACACTTGATGGTTGGACAAGCCTCTATAACGATTCCTTCCTTTCTGTTACTGGTCACTGGATTTCGCCATCAACTTGGACCATGCATGAAATCATCCCCGGATTTGTACCACTGCAGGGGCTCAATTCAGCGGAAAATCTTGCCAATGCCTTTATCCGTGTTTTGAATGAGTCGGCCTAGGACCCAAACTATTTACAGTACCCGCTCGTTAAACCGATCACCTCTGTTTTTCGAGAAAGTGATCGGTTTAACGAATGACCAGTTTAAAGATTGAGGGTCCATTATATGACATACATACTGCTTACCAAGCTGGTATTTTGGGGAAGTGATTGGTTTTACGAAATATCGGTTTAACGCGCGGGTACTGTACTATCACGAAAGATAACGCTTCAAATATGAAGAAAATGGTTCGGATCGTTGAGCACCACGCTGTTTACAATGGATGGTAAGTGTCAAGAGTATAAATGCGAATTTGAAATATTTGGCAATATCGGTTCATGAGCTTATACAATATCATCTGTATTAGGTCATTCCGTGCAGGCCAGCACCATATCCCATGCCTTGGCCATGTGCTGAACTTGGCGGTCCAAGACATCCTACGTTGGGGCCTAGGTCCAATGTTGCGCGACAATACTGGTGATAGTGATGCCGAGGACGAAAGTGACGAAGTCGATGTCAATGCAACCTTCGAGGTAAACGCAGAACGCGCTTTGGAGGAGCAAGAGATCGAAGCAATGAATGTGCTGGTCAAGCTACGAAAAGGAATCAAAAATATTCCGTGAGTGATTACTATCAACAAGCAATTATTTCCCTATTCGATGGTATCATTGGCACCATTTACTTATTATACGTTTGATTACACATAGTTCTTCGCCTCAGCGCATGGAGCCATCCGTGCGACAACAAACTCAGGTTGCTTCACGCAGCCCACCCTCCATCTCGACGTGGCCACCTGCTGGAATTCGACGTATGACGTGGTTGACCGTGCAGCCTTACGTGTACCATATAACGTGCTGTGCTCGAATAGCACCAATGATGAGCTATTACCATTCACGCTGACAACAGAATGGAAGCGCATCGACCAATTAAAGAAAGTCTTAGCGCCCTTCTATAAGTCGACCGAAGCCTTGTCCGCCAGTACGAGCCACTCCACCATCAGCACGGCGATTGTCTACTACAGCAAGTTGATTGATTCTCTAGAATACGTTGTCAGCAATGATTATCCACCAGAATTAAAATAGGCGGCGAGACGTGGCCTCGACAAGTTGCAGATGTACTATTGCAAGGTAGACGATACGGATGTATATACAGCTGCGACGGCCTTGGATCCGCAGGTGAAGTTTTCTTGGTGGCGCCAAGCAAGTTCGGAAGACGGATACCAAGTTATGAGCCAGCGGATGGTGCACGAGGCCTGGGCAGCAATCCCGAAAGGCGCTGCTATGAGGCCCGAAGTGAATGACGAGATGCAGAGCTTGTACAGCCTATATATGACGTCCACGGCTGGTGACGGACTAGAGGATTACTTGGACGAGCGATTAAGAAGAGCGGTACCAAACCAGAAAGGACAAGAACAACTGGTCCCTCCATACTGAAAATGCTAGCCCCAGTGGCCAAACATGGCTGCAATGGCTGCAAGCTGTTTGGCGGTCCCAGTCACTTCGACACCATCCGAACATTGCTTTTCCCAAACTCAACTTCTCCTGCCGCACACGTGATACCGCCTCCAACCGCATACTATCGAAATGCTAATGCTTTTAAATTCGTGGTGCTCCTTCGGAACGTTTCCGCTTCTTCGTATCTGTACCTCCTTTCCGCACCTTTTTTCCATGCCTCTTTTCCCTAGCTCTTTGATCTTTCCCTGCTTTTATTTCTTCCTTGTATTCTTTTCTGTACTCTTGTTTACTATTTTTTCCTTCCCTTTTGCTTTTATAGGTTCTGTTAAGTTTTTAAATAAAGTATGACTTGCAAATACATTACTCCCTGGTCTCTTCGGAATAACATTGTGCTTGTAACTTTCATTATAGCCTACTTTATAATAATTACTAAGATCGCTGAATGTGATCTTCTGCCTCTCAGTTCTTCGGTTCTACATATAAAGAACTGGTGGTTCAGTTCCGGTTTGGTTCTACGGTTTTGATACAGATTCCTAGGCGTGTAGGTGGCTCGTCGGGTAAAGTGACTTGACAGAGGAGCAGAAGGATCGAATGTGCACTAGGATCCGAGTACCGAAGGTGACCCCAAACTAGTGTTACCCCGAGAACCACCCATAACAAATAAACCAAACATACAAAAGAACCACACACCAAGCGGCAATCAGAATACAATACGTAACTACCGCAGCAACCGCAGCAACTCTACAACTCTCTTGCACCCCAAAATTATCAAAAGGAACAACTATAAATAGAACGAACCCTTTACTTTGTAAAGATTCGAAGAACAGCTTGTTGAATAAGAGCATTACCGCAGCATCCGCAGTAACAACAACTACCGCAGCATCCGCAGTAACAGCAAGTTACCGCAGCATTGGCGTTGCGCAGCAACCGCAGCAACCGCAGCATGAGTTATCTTAGACATTATTAAATAACCAGAAAGATATAAATACCCCATCATTTTTATTTGAATAAAGACATTGAATTTTTACCTCCCACTTTTGACTTAACTTTTCAAGTGTTGTTTTCAATCACTCAAGACCTAAAACACGGCTTGTTTTATCTTACATATTGTTTATTGCTCGTAACTGAAGCTAAATAAACTCTTATATTAAGACCAGACGTAACATTCCTGCTCTTATTTCTCATTTACTTGGACAGACGTAACATTCCTGATCCTTATTCCTCATTCATTTTGGACAGACGTAACATCCCTGATCCTCATTTCTACTCACTGAGCTTAATCAAGACAACAGCTCACTACCATTTCCACCCTTGGACATAAACCATACACATTTTTACTTTACTTTACTCTCATATCATTTCACAACCCGTCTGTAATAAACGATATTATTACTAGTGCTCATTACAAAACATACACTTAAACCGTTACGTAACTACCTGGAATACCCCAAATTCACCGTAACACTAGTTGCCACACTTAATATTTGCGGGGGCATTCGAATAGGAAGTGGATTGTAGTATCGATGTTGGAGCGACAAAGACGACGGTCAAGTGATGAAGCATGAGAGATATTGAAGCGATGAAGTCGTGATGAAGTTGGCAGTGTCCCATGTACCGTATAGCGCGAAACCAGACATTGCGGGCAGTGTGTTCTATGGGCCATGACCAAAATTTGGACCATTGTTGAGCAGTTATGCCGGTGACGCTATGTATTGGTGGTGAGCGTTGCGGCGATATCGTTTTGTCTGCCATTTCAGCAAGGTGGTATGAAGCGGTGAGAGAGAGGTGTTGTATCAATTGCACTAAGACGTCCGGAGTGGCAGTTGCCTGAAATGCTGGGGGAGACAGAGATGTGCATAGCCATTGATCATGAAGACCCGTCCTTGAGCCAGAGCGTTGAAAAATCGATTAGTGAGGATCCTCCGTATAATACCATCCGCAGCTGATTGAGGGCAGAGATAGCCAAGTGAGGCATCACACGCCCATAGCACATTTAATGGAAGAGATAATGACTACATAGTAGTAGTAGCCCTGAGCTTCAAGCCTTTAAAAAAGTAGCCATTACCGAGCACTGAAGGATACTTCTCACGTACACTATCATCGCTCTCTTCCTAGCTCCCTCCGTACAGCTTCTCAGCTAGAACAATTACGAGTATCCTGCTACTGACGAGACGTCGTCGTAGACAGAGTGCATTTAATAGACTTCCAAAACAACTGAAATGAAAAAGAGGTAAGTAAACGCCGAGTAGAGATATTTTTAGAGTATGAGTATAGCCACTTTCGTGAAACTTTAAATAATCATCAGTACCTTACGTATCCCAGCTCAAAATCAACTTGCAATGCTTTTCGACTTCTAAAATTGTGGATAACGACTTGCAAAATGTTGCGATGACCTGTTGGTAGCAAAGGGCGAGTCCAACATTGGGAGCGAAGAAAGTGGTGAAAAGTACAGAAGCATCTGTCACAAGGTGTGTCTTTATTGCTGCACTCTTTTAATGACCCAACAGAAGCGACAAAGCAGCAAATGGCATAACGCACATTCTCTATCTTTGGCAGTTCTCACGAGATGACAAAAAATATGGGCAGGATTAATAGAAACGAAAAGAAGGAAGAAAATGAGTATCAGGATCTCAAACTTGCTTGCTTTTTACCATGCAACTGCAGTGTGTACGGTTGTGGCGGTACTATGGGTGTCGATCGTTAACTGGTAAGGTCCAGTTTCTTCATAAAGGAATGCTTGTTGCAATATATTAAAGTAAGAAGGTACGATGCACAGCCTGAATATGCCAGGCCGTAGAGTAAAGGCATTTCGCAGATTGGCTGGTGTAGATATTAGGAGCAAGGATCGAAGCACGGAAATAATAATGAAAACAGGACCAGTGTTGTCTCGACGTATTCTTATATAGTCGCAGCACAACAACCAAAAAATGGTGATCATATGTAGGACTATATATGTACATGGATGCCCATAAAGATTGATGCGTGTATATAGTATTTGTGTGCTTCTAACCACATATGCACGACGTTCTTGTAAGTAACGTCAGGACAAGCTAAGTTTCGTGTCTGTGGTTGTGGAGCTGGCAATTTGGTTTTTCCGAGAAACTTTCAAACACAACAGGTCGTGGTGGTAATAGTGGGTTGTTTGTTGTCGTACCTTGCTCAATGTGCAACTGAATGACACCGCCAACGACAATTGCTGCCGAATCTCTGCGACGAACCAACGACGTTACTGCAGTATATCCTCCGACCGACTTCTCTTCGTCTTGGTCCGCTGCCCTTCCAGCTAGCAGTAGATCAGTGCAATCTGCAGCAATCAAATACGCACAACAACCTTATGGCAGCATGGCAACAACAGTTCAAAACAAGCGCAAAAAAGCAAAGGAAGTAACTTCAGTTGGCGGTAGTACAGCCATTGCTCGTTCCCTCATGATGCAGGGACTGTACTTGTTTTACAGGACGCCTGTGAAGGTATGTCGCTTTCTGTATATTTTATATTTACAACTGTCTCTACCCGTCGGAAACCAGCTGATTTACGATTTGTACACAAAAAAGCTGTTTAGACCGCTACGAATCGATTATCTAATGATGGCCAGGGCATTGTTACCACCGGTCGATGAAGCTTCTACAAAAAGATTCTCGTTTCGATACACGTCGATTGGCATGATTTCACACGCAGTAAAAAAGCAAGGGGTAAAAAGCAAAGAAAAAAAAAACAGACTTCAAACAGAGTAAGAATACACAGTTTAGCTAAACAGAAATTTATGTAGTGGAATTTTATACCTCGTCATATCCTGCCACCACTGCTTGCAAATACAATGATAGGCACAGTACTGTACACAACATACATTGCCTCGCTACCCATGTTTCATCCTGCTTCTTCGTTCCAGCTACACCGACCATTTCCTCCGCCTCCTTTCTCATCCGTATTTATGGCCGGTAAGTAGTGCTTCGATCATCATTTGCTTGTACGTGTTGTGAAGGGACTGTAACCTCAACCATACTCTTCCGTTCTCGTGCCTGCTCTCTGGTCTGATATGAATCAGGCTGCCTTGCCGGCGCAATGCAATCCATTGTTGCTGCTCCCTTGGACTCTGTCAAAATCCGGTTTGAAGTGAGCGATCTAATGGAAGGAAAACATCGGTCAATGTATCAGTTTGCAAAATCAACCCTTAAAGAGCTGGGCATCGCAAGCGCATACCGTGGGTTTTCTCTGACGCTAGTGCGTGTAAGCTGCAATCTTTTCCTTCATCTGCTTTTTTTTCTGAGAGACCTAGTAGGTAACTGATTTTTAATTCTAGGACTCGCTGTCGTGTGGATTGTTTTTTGCCACGTTCGAATGGGTCAAGCAACAGGGGTATTATTACTTTCTTGACGAGATGTATGGTCTACAAGTGGATTCTCGGAAAACACTGCATCAACTGGAAGGAATGCATCGGCATCATGGCGAAAAAGATATTAGCCATTCTATATCCACCGAGAAAAGCGCGAATCCATCAAATATTGCTACCAAGGAACGACCGCCATTGATGCTCGAGCCGATCTTTGTCATTTTGGCGGGTGCAGCGGCAGCAGTAGTAAGACACCCCTTACCCCTGAAATCATGTTTTGTAGTGACTAACAATATAATTTATGGTAATAGGCATACCAAATCATTGAGCACCCATTGTCAAAGATACATAGCATATTCTATATTGAAGAAGGACAATCAGAATTTACCCACAAAGATAAGCGTGAGTCTGTGCGGGTGCTTTATCGGAAAACATGGGAGCAATGCAAGCTGCAAGTACGAATGCATGGCGGAAGCTGGAGGAAATTCATGTACCAGGAGTTTGGCAGTACCGTGATCAAGGTGGTTCCTGCAACTAGCATTGGATTTCTAGTGTTTGAACTCGTCAAGCGGGAGGTCGACTTTCGCAGTATAGCAGCCTTTGAAGAGGAATATGAAACACTCGATCCATCACATCCTTAGAAAACAACGTCTCCGAAACCATAATATGTGTGTGTAAATTTACTTTGCTTTTCCCCTTGTACATATACCCCTCCCCAGTCTCTGTCATGTAGAATATACATTTTGCTTTCTCGACGATTTGCTTCGCTTAATTATAATCTTTTCTCTTTGTTCCTCGCCACATCTGTTTCAGTCTTCTAGTAAATAAAAACCAAGTAATATGAAGGGCTAATGGCCTAGATCCATCAGAAAACAACAGAACAGTGATTGCATAAATACGTCATTGTAACTATCGGAGTTCTCGACTTTCCATGCCAACAATTTCCCGCGCTTAACGACATTGCAAGATGCATGGACTTGATATCCCACATGGAGATAGCAGAAACAGCACATAGCAAATAGCAGTCTATATATTATCCTTTGTGACGATGATGGCGAGCATTCAATATACTTATTTGGACCAGAAGATGCAATGAATGATGTGAGAATAAATATAGGACAACTGTGCAATCATCTGACTTTTCCTTATTCGAACTACAATGATCAGGGCTGATTGAGCTGGTGATGATTCATCAGATGCCAACAAAAGCTGCATAAACAGACAAATAACGATTACAGAGTATCAGTTGTGCGGCCAGATGACTCATTTTGATCGACAATCGACGTTCATGGAAAAAAAACAAATAGCGCAGAACTTTGAGTTTGAGCCCAAATCAAGTTAGAAACGACTGATGAAAGCAGCAAACTCACTTACCAATGAAAGAGGATGGCGCTAGAGTGCTTTCAATGATGATGGTGGTAATGATAGCTAGTGGCAATACTGCTATTAAGTATCCCCAATTTTTCTTATTCTTTCGATCTTGCGCTTTCTTTCTTTATTCGACCGTCTTCCCTGCTCGCTACCTTTTCCATCCAACTATTTATTTTGTGCCTTATATACGAGTAAGCCCTATACTTCTGACAGAAATGCCCACTCGTGCTTCGACGTCCAAAAAATTGTCACCATCGCCAACGCGATTAAGAAACCAACAATTGCCGCGACGACGAAAACAACAGCACACATCAACGTCTTCTGCTCCATTACAGCAGCGACAGGATAGTCATTCGAAAAACCAGCAACAGCAGCAGATGGTGTCATCATCAAAGTCTGTAGCTGCTGCTCCTCCTCTTCCTCCTCATCCTGTCAGCTTGAAAGAACCTTTTCAAAGTCGAAATCCAGCGCCAGAAGGAAAATCAACAGGTGGACTTAAATTGGATTTGAATCTGGACGTCGAGGTGCAAGTCAATGCCCGGGTTCACGGTGATCTTACGCTGGCTATATTTTAAACAAACCAGACTTTATAATATCCATGTATACAAAACACTTTGTTGTTGTTGCTGATCGCAAGCTCTTTCAAGTACAAAGATAATCTTATATTATACGCACTCATGGAAGACATCGTTATTATAAATTTGCTCAAAATTATTTATTGCGGCCGAGGAATATGAATAGAAAATGAAATGCCACCTTTAGTTGCATCCACATTGACAACAAGATCATCACTACTTCCATTGCTATTGCTGAAGCTAATGCCAGAACGTTTTTTACTATCAGTACCACTACTATTGTTATCCTTTGACGGTTGTCTGCTCGTAGAAGTGCTCGGTCGAACCTTGCCGTAGACATTGCCCGCTAGATCAACAATCTCGCCGTGTTCGTTCACCTTCTTCCCTGCTACATGAGACCAGTCATCCTTAACTACGGTACCAATAATGTTGCCTTCACTGTCTAGTACGTTCCCAGAGGCATCCAGACGTTCTCCTGTTAAATTCACCTCCTCCCGTGGAGGGTCGAACTGAAGGTTATTCTGTAGTAAGCGTCCAAGTTCTTCTGCAGACAGTTGATGTGTCTGCAGATGGTGATGGCTTCCAGCTGTTGTCGAGTGCTGTTGCGACAATCTCATATCATCTTCTTGTTGTGGCTGCTGCTTAACATAACTCCTTGGATCGTATTGACTACATGGGGCGTTCAACGGCTCATCTTGACTGCATGGCTCCTCCACCATTGGACTTTGTTGACCTTCTTCTTTCCAGTCTTCTTTGTGTACATAATTGCTATCGTTGTAGTCATCGCCTAAATAAGGATCCACGATGGCGCCCTCGTTCACCGATGGAAGCTGATAAGGATCCTCGGCGTTATCATCACAGAGAGAAGCCTTGTCTCCACGTCTTCGCGACATCAACGCTTGTTGTTGTTGTTGTTGTTGTTGTTGCTGCTTCAGGGATGGTGATGGTGGAGGTGATGGCGATACTATTGTTGGCTCTTTAACACTTTCACCGCGTGGAACGGTTCTTCTTTTTCTTCGATCTGCTGGCCTGCGCGGATGGCTCTTTTTGTATTGCTGTTTACTGTCATCAGGAGATGTCATTGTATCAGATGGCGATCGTGCAGTGCTAGACATGTTCTTTTTCGGTTGTTTCTGGTTTTTAGCACGATTTCGTTTCGCTCGACTTGTTTTTCGGGACGCAGGTATTTCTTTTGGTTGTTGTTGTCGTTGTTGCTCTACTGGTCGTTTCTCTGGCTGTAAATGCGGTCGTGGAGATGTTTTTTTCTGTTGGGTTTGCTCTTGATGACGATCTTCTTGGTCAACTGGTTTATGTTCCGGTGATCGGTCTTGTTGATCAGTGTCGACGTTCTGTTGTTGTTGTTGTTGTTGTTCAATCGGTGATGTAGGAACGGCAGCAGGTCCTTGTTGTTGTTCTTGCGGCTCTTTGGGTACTTTGGACCGCACGTACAGTAAAAGGAGTATAAGTAGAATTTTTGCGGAAAGAAGTGCAGTTTGTTACCCAGGTGAACAGATTTAGTCGTCTAAGAAATGCATGGATGCATGTTGCCATGGTTGGTTAAGATCAAAAGAAAAAATGTCGTCAGGTCGCACTAAAGCTACTAAATCATCACCGCCAACTACAACAGAGAAGCTCCGATCATTAGAGCCCTATCACTTTCAGTTTCACCTGGTTTTTTTGATCGCTCAGATGACATATTTGCTTGTTGTTCGTTGCATGGTAACAGATCCATGCTGTGTAACATCCGCAAATCTCTCTCTCTCTCTCACTCTCACTGTGCTTCTCAATTACGTCAATTTCTCATTGCTAACTAAAATGTCTCGAACACTGTTAGTCTGTTCACACATGCGTTTCGTCATACGAACAAAGACGATATATATATACATTTTAGAATAGACGGTAATAAATAGCGCCAAGTGACTCGAATTCCACTCCCAGAATTCGCTTTTTCTCTTCTTCTTAGATTCACCAAGACAAACAACAAGAAAAAAAAACCTGTTTTTTTTAAGAAGGAAAAAACCATGTTAGCCAGAAGCCCTTCACAGCAACGACGTAACAATAGAAACCAAGGTCAAAGAGCTGGTGACATTGGATCGGACGACGCAGAAAGTGTCCAGCAGCGTTATTATCCATCCGATATGGACAACGACAATGACGCAGAATCACAAGTTTCTGAAACGCCTTCGCAAACTAGCAGCCGCGCAAGACGAAGTCGACGTAATCAGCGAAGAAGAGCACAAGCCCAGCGACGATCTGGCGGCGGCGGTGGTGCAGTCCCACAATTGGATGAACCTGGAGGAACGCTCGACAATGTTGGTGATACGGTTGGTGACACAGTGGATACCGTTGGAGACACGGTTGGAAATACTGCAAATCAGGTCGGCAACGCAGCGACAGGAGCCGTGAACAAGGCTGCAAGTGGTGGCGGCGACGATAATCCATTGAAACTACGTTTGGATTTGAATCTCGATGTCGAGATCGAGCTCAAGGCAAGAGTACACGGTGATGTTACTCTTGCTTTGTTGAGATAGAGTTTATTGGTATTATCAAGTATTTAAAAAGATTTATCAATCTTTTGTATATGTAGCATTCTTTAAGCCCCATCACTCGATTCAAATTTTGATGCTGTATGTTAAAGCAGCCTATTTAAACTGGGTACGCTGCCCCACCTTGTAGTATATTATCCTTGTATGTAACCAAGTAAACTTTTTTATTTATTATTATCCGCTATATGCTGCTGCTGGTGGTCGATGCTTTTTAGGAGCATTTTTTAACATCCATATCGTGCGCTGCAACTGACAGGGAGGATGAAATGGTCTTGAAGCTTTGTACAAGAAGAATGGCAGGAACCTGGTTAAAAGAATTACATCCTTGTTATTAGCCTTCGACTAATTCAAGTCCTTTCGTATCGTTTCTTGAAACCCTCCAAAGAAAAAAAAGCCCTACAATAAACCAAGGCGAATTAAAGGATACGAAATAGACCCAGAAGTATAGTGGGTGCGGATTGCAACTGGCGAACCCTGTGGGTAAGTCCATGACAAAGTATAAAGTGGTGCTGAACAAATGAGCCATGGAAGCTAGTAGTTGCCAGAGATACTGCTTTGAATCATCCATCCATATAGCCCTGGCTGCTAAGCAACACAGTGGACCCCACACAAACTACAAATACACGACAAAACAAACTTCGATCAATATGTATCATTTTTGGGACACACGGCGCATCTTGCTATAAAGAAAGCCGGGGTAAGAAGTCGACATACAACAGTGATCGTTTCAAGTGCAAGCAAGACAGGGTCGCTGGAAAGGTAGCGAGAGTCTCCATGAGCATATTCTTTCCATAGTTCGGCCAACAGATCAGATTGTCCTGCAATAGTCTTGTGATGGTAGACCCAATAGGCTTCAAATCCACAGTGCAAGAAAATACACAGAACGAACCACGTGAACCGCAAGGCTTCGCCTTTCTTATTCTTGTTCGTCTTACTGCTCTTCCGTGCTGCTGCAAGTACAAATGAGGTTATAATGAGGAGCGCCATGACGGAACCGACAGTGAGCAAAAGCGACTCCATGGGTATACGATTCGGTATATAGTGATTAATTCTGAGTGTCTGAGGGTAGTAGGGATGATGTTGTTGTTGCCCTTCTTGTGCATTGCGGAATTCCATAGTTGTATGTATAAAAGGATACAATTTTTTCTTTTTCCTCGAAAGCCTAAAAATTCAGTGTCAAACGCGAGACCTGTCTCTCTATTCGATCTTCTTCTTCTCTGGTCCCGACTTCGAGGATACTCTTAGTGCATTACAGCAAGTACTTATCAATCGAGCCTTTAGATATTTGCTATCAGCTCTTCATAAAGGCTGGACCTTATTCCTTACTCAACGTTGGAAATTTATGGTTTCGCTGCAGTGTATATAAAAGGGAATATGCAGCAGCGGGGCTCTTCTCTCGGCACCTTCTTTATACTTGTACTGCTGTCCATTTAGACCAAAAAAAAGAACACCGAGACCTACAAGAACCTCAGCAATGTCTCTTGTAGTCCAACCGAAAAAGACTTTGTTCTTTCCACGTAAGTTAATCATGCCCGTTTCAACGCCTCACACTTTCTTTTCTAATAGTGGAATGGTACTCTCTATACTCATTTTTTGAAAAACTCGTTAAATAGATCCCACCACTAATTTGCACGAAAAGAAGTCCGTTACCATCACACTGCAAAATCCGGGTAATCAAGTGGTCACATTCAAAATCAAAACGACTGCACCGAGAACTTACAGCGTACGACCCAATATTGGATTTCTTGATCCCTTGCAATCTCGAGTTGTTCAAAGTAAATTGGTCGTTTTTTGACGCGTTCAAAAGTATATAAGAAAAAAGAAGCAAATTCGAAATTGACAACCCTTGTTCTTCTTTCAATCAGTCCATTTCCATGCTGATCAATATGAACGACGTCAACGCGATGACAAATTTCTTGTCTTGAGCATGAGTATCGATTATCCAGCTCATCAAAATATTATGGAACTGCATGGCTTGGTAAGAGATTAAATTTCGTCTGTTTTTTTTTGTTACTTTTATCATGAACAGCACCTATGGATAAGCTCTAATAATAGCGTTGACAATTGAGTCTAAACTTTATAAATTGTTTCTCCCTCCCTCCAGTGGACACACGTTGAAGCAAACGATAAAGCACGCATATCTCGAAAACGGCTTCGGTGTGAATTCCTTGAGCCCGGACAGGATGCCACCGAAGCCCAGCATCAAGCCCCTATGTATCTGACAGACGATGATGTCGATCATGCATTACAATCAGGACCTGAATTTGAACCTGAAGCGGTAACGAAAGATAATCCATGTTTTATTATGCCTTGTTTGTTGTGAGTATGAGGACGTCTGTTTAAAACTCATGTAATCTTCTTATTCGTGTATCAGGAGATACTTGAACAACAACCCACAACCATGCTAGCCGAACCAGCGCAAGCTCCAGTATCACTATCGCAAGTTCAACAGGCGCGTTCACCGATATTTCTCCACGATCAAGGTCAGCATCAATAGATAATATATGCGCACGTATATTTTCAGTTGCTAACAAGTATGAAATTATCATCAGGTCCAGCAGCATTCATTGAACATCAAGCGGAACAACCTATTCATTCACCACCACCACCACCACAAGAACAACAACATATATCCGCTAGAATCATGCAATCATCTTCTGATCATCACCGACAGCTATCTCCAATCGATATGCACGAAATGGATGAATTAAAGCAGATGGTTAACAGTATGAATCATCAAATGAGCGCGTATAAAGATGAGCTTGCCCACTTGCGGTACCGTCGGACGCAGTGGAAACCGCGTGCTCAGTATGCAGCAGCATTACGACCAACAACAACAACAACGAGAACTCAACCAATGACAACTGCACAATATCCAGCATCAGCTGTGGTCATCGTTGCGCTTCTTGCATTCGCACTTGCCTACCTGGTGATCCATATCACTTCATAGCTCCCAAAAAATAAAGAAAGACAAAACATGTACAAAACGATGGAATGTATACATATACTGTATGCAGCCCCCTCGCCCTTTCCTTCATCTAATCAATAACAACAACAAAGCTTTATATACTGCACACAGATAAAAACATGTACATAATAAGAATCGCTTTCACTCGATGCACCTTTAATAGGTTATGCTACTACCATTAATATTAAATTATAATCATTTATTACCCGAGAGAGAGAGAGATCTTTTCTTCAATCACGCTTGATTTCACGTCTGACCTTCATGGCCTTGTAGTCACCATTGAATGGAATGGCCAACTTCATTATTTCAGTGAAAACATTCCAGTCCAACACCTTGGTCAAGCCAATCTTCATGAGGACTGTGATGATACCTTGGTCGGCAACGACCACTTTACCAGCATTGCGACAGACAGTGTCGGCGACCACGGATGGAGGCGATGAGATTTTTTGGGCAGACAGGAGAGCAGACATTTTGCCAGCGTTGCTGTAAAAGTTGGAATTGATCGGCGATGGGTGCTACAACAAGAAATGTTGTCAATTTCTTCTCCTTATTACTTATCTGCAAGGCGTCCATTCTACTTACAATCACAAGCACATCAATGCCATCTTCAACATGTTCGGCAGCAATAGAGGCAGCAAACGTAGTCAAAAAGTCCTTTGTCGAAGCTGTAGACGGAGAAATGATCAGTATACTTGTATATATGCAGATAGATAAGACTGATAAACGTCCACGAGCCTCACACCAGACAGAAGCTTATTATTCTTTACCATACAATGCACCCATAGGATTGGGAATGAAGCCAGCACTGCTCGAAGTATAGGTGACCAGTCCCTTGAGTCCCTTATCCAACATGCGGTTCAAGAAATGATGCGATAAGGTCAAGCAGGCGGTGACATTAGTATGGTAGTTGGCCATGTTGCGCTTTTCAGCCGTATCTGCAAAACATCCGGTCGTAATAAAACCAGCATTGTTGCACAAGATCTGAATGTCAATATCATTGGTCGCTGCTTTGATAGCGTCAAGGTACGCATCGCCTGATGCTGTCGAAAGGTCGCATGCAACGAATCGGAACTCCAGGCTAGGAAATTCTTGAACGATTTTGGCCTTGAAGTCTTTGAACAGTTGATCGTCCAACGCAACAATCACCACGTTGAGTTGTTGTCCGGCCAGTTTGCGTACAAGGGCGGCACCGATACCCGATGAACCGCCAGTGACAAGTGCCCTGTTTCATAAAATGTAAAGTTATGTTGGCTTCTCCCTCTCGACCCACTTGTTTTCGTTTGCATATGCCGTTGCTGGTTTTGAACAGATGGAATGAAGAGAAGAGAGTAAACTCACCACTTGGCATTGTACTTTTTCTTCAAGTCCTGTTCCTTACAACCATACGCGCCATAAATAACCAGTATAACGTAGGGAACCACGGCCAAAAAGCCTATCCAGAAAAAGACTGTGCTTTGCATGTCAGCTTATGAATTGTGTGTGTGCTCTACAGATAGATTTCGTCCGGGAAGCTGCTGATTTCCTTGACGAATGACATGAACTTACTGGAATAGATGGTGTCAAACATGTTGGAGAAAATGACAAGGAGTTGGGGGGGGGGCAAACGAAAGGGTTCTCTCCGACTTTTCAGTTAAAGCTTAAAAAATGGTTTCGAACTCATTCCCGTTTATAGTAGTAGCAGTATTAGTAACTTTCCCGCGCTTTTTTCCTTGAGCAAACGATCAAGAACATGAAAGCTATTCGCATCAACACTGCCGCAACCTTTGACCAGACGCTACAAAAGACACTCCAAGAACATTCCCCCGTCTTTGTTTTGTTCTTTGGTAACGAATTACCCGAGACCTCTGAATCCTGGTGTCCCGATTGCGTGATTGCCGATCCTCGCGTTCGTAAAGCCGTCCTGGACCATGATGCTTCTTCCAAGTCGTCTGCTTTATTGGAAGTCCCCGTGGGTCTTCGCGACGCATGGAGAAGTGATACCAACCATTACCGCTCAAGGTTTTCTTTGACTGCTATTCCAACTTTAATTCATTGGACAAAGGTAAAACAAAAAGAAAAACCCCCACGTGTGAAACATGTTGTTAGCTGTTGATTATAACGTCTGCTTTGCTCCAATGTCTTTTGCTGCTATTTATGTAGAGTGGACCAGGTGAAAGATTGGTCGAAGTAGATTGTGCAGACTCCACAAAGTTGCAAGCATTTGTAGAAAAATCAAGCCCTCAAGATTAAAACAATAAACTGTTCTTTTGGGAGGGTTGATGATGGGATAAGGGACAGGTTAGCGGAAAATGTAATATAATGTTTGCTTGGTTTATTGTTTTCTATTTGGATTGCCGTTTTCTTCATCCAACAAGAAGAAATGAAAAGAAGGGAGAGAGAGAATGATGTCAACCAAGAGATAGCATTATTGGTGAAGAAGTGACATTGTCCAAATCTGCACAGGTTATTTGCTTTGCATGTACTAGAGATTAATAGACTCGTCAACATTAGAGAACTAGGGCATTTGTCAAATTTTATATGCGAGCCTTTTCAACAATGTGCAAAACGATAGCAAAGTCCTGTAAGACTTTACTAATGCGAAACTAATTGTTGAATGGACTGTAGACTAGTTATAGTGAATGGTTCCTCGTTAGTTGTAGTGGTTAGTCCCCTCCCCTTCCACCGAAACACCTTCATTATGCAGAGAAGGAGTCGCTCTTTGACGAGCTCTTTTCGTTCATTAACCACATTCTTTTAAACATTCTACACAATGACAAGAACATTCATGGCACTCATCCAGTAATTCCTGTTAGAAAAATGAGTCGGAAGTAGCCGTGTGTGGACAAAGAGAAAACGGGTAGATAAAGTTTATGCTACAAGATTAATAGTCTTAGCAACGATCTCAAATAGAATGAACAAAGTTGCTTTCTTTTGCTTTTTATGTTTCTAGTTAACAAGACTCGAACACTTATGCAAGCCTTCAATGCTTTCATCGTGGATGCCAAAGGGACAATTGGAAACTACTATGTAGTAAATTAGCAATCCAATATGCTTACTTGTTTCCTTTCAATCTTCTCAAGCGCTTTGGCTTCTTTGTCAGTAGTACGGCGGCACCCTTACCAACTAATCAACATTATGCTAGACGAAAGATAATAATAAAATGGTGTAATTCTAAGGCGATTGGCCGTTGTGCGGCTGGGCTTTATAAGTTCGTTGGTGCAGTAACGAACTATGTCTCAGGAAGAGGAACATCTTTATATGATCGTCGTTTCTGATCTTTTTTCTTCTTTCAATAGTCATCTGAATATGACGAAGCAAATATTGATGATGAAATAATGATTGCAACTGCTATTGAATTATATCACACGTGAAACATTATGTACATACTAACTACATTTGACGAACTATGCGAGTGTATCTGTTTTTTCCCCTGGGCTATTACCTAGACGGCGGATGAACTCCAACATTAAACAGATACCATACAGGTGGTCCGACATATTCATGGCATTAAAGGGTCCAAGTAGGTGCTAAAGGGGTTGCTCCTTCTTTTGCATACACACATTGGCAGCTGACTGTTCATGCAGATAAAAAGGGATTTTTAACAAAAAAAAAATAAAAAATAAAGGAAGTGGTATCATCAGACTAACCATGTAATTAAATGACCTGGTACTTTTGCAGCCTTATAGGCTCACTTATTCCTGGTTAATATATCCATTAGTTTAGACATCTGTATATCAGATTAATTATATGAATATCAGAAAAAGAGAGAGGAAAAAAAGAGCGGGCAAGAAGAGACATTACGCTACTAAGGTTGTTAAGGTCCATTTAGATCAACTGGCTCAAAATCAGAGTGTTCTGCTTCAGAACTAGATGAAAGAAATACAATTTCCCGGAAGGGAATATCCACATGGATCATGCTTTCAAATGCGTCTTGGAATAAGGGATACTATTGATCACCTCGGATTCTGGCACCACCATCTTTGCGGCCTTTACCTCGAGCATAAGGGTAGCAGGCAGGTCATTCAATCAATGCACCCGGCCTGGGCTGGATAAAAATGGTATGATTAGATATGAGCTGCGCGACGATTGGAGTTGTACGTATTGCTTGGGATGGGGTGCTTAGTAAGGGGAAAAATAACGAGGATTCGGTGCCAAAGAATGCTATAGCCGTATTGAACGCATCCGAGGCAAGCTGAGCACACTCTGGATAGTACAGCCAATGATGGCTTGATGGGCATTTGGATAAAGAACACTTAGCATTCTTTCAGCGTCGAAACTCTCATAGATACTTTTTCCGCGATTTTTATAAAGAACTCGCGCATTTCGGCCTTGGTATCAATATATCGTGTTTCATCTCCAAGTAAAGCAACAGCCAACGAGCGGAAACCACAATTTCCGTCTGGATTCGGATTGTGCACTAAACCCACAGCAGTGCGAGGAATGGCATCGCAGACCATGTCCAGGTTTGGCACAATAGGTGGATCAGCAGACGGAAAAGGTGATGGTAAAGAAGCGGGCAAAAAGGATGACCGAAAAGGTGGCATTGTAAGTTGATGTTGCTGTGGTGGCGGTGACGGTAGTAGTATGGTAGTGATCTCAGCTTTGGCTTTATGCTTGCCCTCCCTGAGTAAGCCTAGTCAGTACTGTATGTGTAATAGCAAAAGAAGATCAATTACAGCAATGATTATACTATTAATTACCAAATATCAGCTGCTTCGCGACCTACGTGTGTTTTGGCTTTCTTGTTGCTTTCGTTCTGTTGGTGTTCAAGAGCAATAAGATCGCGCTTAGAGCTGCGCTAAGGTTTACCTTTTGTCGGTAGAGATTTCGGCCGCTCCAGTTGCTTGATGTCCATAAAAAGATCATCGCTGATGGCTTGCAAATGACGTAGAAGAGTTGAACGTTACTTTTGGTCAGGAAATCGATGAAACATAGTGGTGATACGCGTGAGCTCAGCTTCGATTTGACTCTCCATGGTAGCAGCAAAAAATAATTCTGAAATCGCTAAAGTGTTGTTGCTACGGTGGACTGTTTTCTCCTCTACATAAAGTTACCACAGTTTAAAGTAGCGAGTAAGAATGGTATCAAGCTATCTATACCTTCTGGAGCTGTTTTTCCAGGATTGAGATGCCAGCGTCTAGGGATAATCCTCAAAGGAAATTTTCCTTTGGATGGTATCAGGTGGCAACAAGGAATCCCGTAATGAGCTTTGATTGCACATCGACAGTTGTCGGTTCTTAGCGGATTTGGATATACAAGCTCCTTGCGAATTGCATTGAAAGCGAACTTTAATATGTGGCGCTGTAAATCTACCAGCCTTTCTTTTTGACTTGGCGGGATATGGTAATTCACACCAAAGTGTTCGCTATCCAATTGACGATCCCAGTTTAGATCCTGCACAGGCAAAAGCAACACACAGTGAGCACAATTAGCAGTTAAAGTGCGTAGAATAGGATTGTAGGTAAATATCAACCAACATATATGTATGTATATGAATATATGTACCTTTAATCTGTAGAATTCATCGATTTGCTCAAAAGCAAGGTATAGATTACCACTGGCGGACTGTATGGCCTTTTTCATATTGGCGTGCGTTCCTTCGACTCTGTTGGTGGTACTATTCCCAAGATGTTTGACATCTGCGAGGTATCGGCCGACCCACTTTTCTTTATTGGAAAGCTTACTGCAAGCGAAAGTATACACATAAGCACAGTGTCCAAGCAAACGATCTCTGATAAGAATCCAATATATAGTTACCTCTCGAGGTATGCTTTCACTTTTTCCGGCTTTTTGGCTTTCATTGCAGCCTCATTGTACATGCCGATCACCTTTTGCTCGAAATCCTCATCTGGAACCAGCCGCTTGTTCTGAAACTTATCATCATATTCATCAGCCATCAAGTAGTTGATGGCTTTCAGGAGCGCCTCAAAGTCCTCTTTAACTTCAAAAAGTTTCTGCAGCTTGACTTGAGAATTGCGTCTGATGTGGTTGGTGCAGAGCAATTTCTTCGAGTTGGGGAATACGTGATCCAAGGCTTTCATCAACGCGGATTAGCTGTCAATTACAAAGCCTTTCGGGGAGACTGGCTGCTCAGCTGGCCAAACAACTTGCTCAAGCTTTTTGACAAACCAGTCGTAGCTGTCATCCATTTCTTCAGACACCCATCCACCAGCAATACAGAACGCTTTTAAGGCTAGATAACCAGCATTGCCAGTACCGACGACATTCACAAAAGGGAGCGGATGTCTGTTTGCTTTGTACGTGGCAGCCATGATGATGGTTTCAGGGAATTGGCGAGCAAGTGAAGTTGCTGAATGATGAGCACAAAAGAGAGAATGCAGGAACCGTTTTTCCCCATCTTGCTTCGATTCCCGTTCAACGACGTAATCCTTGTCCTGTAGCTTGCTGATAAGCTTGAACTTGATATGATCGGGATCGTTGTTGAATACCATATGTCGCATATTCGTGATGTCCTTGGGGTTGACAACCGTTTTGTTAGCAGCAAGGCACGACACAATTACAGTATTACTGGTGTGCCCATTGATCATGCTAAGAACAATGTCGTGCTGCTTCCCGTCGAGCTGACGAAGCATTGGATACCACGACGAGCCTTTGCAATCTCATGATTGTGTTCACCGTCGTAAAAGAGACAACGTGCCATTACTGGCTAGCCTTGCTCAATGGCTGCAGCTTGATCTCGAACTCACCAATTCGCTGGGAGTCTTTGGCGCGCCGTTTCTTGCTGTCCTTGTTGTTGGACAGAAATGACATCACCATTGTCGTTCGCCAAGATGGTTTCCACTGTCGTAATTTTGCCATCGTCATACACCTCTTGATTGGTAGGTTGTCCAACGTGCTTGCAAACAAGACAGAGGACTCTGTTTTCTCCTGTACGCGTACTTTTCAAGGTACGGAGGGAAACCTAATTCTTTTTACCCCAGTCGACGCAAGCTTGCTTGGCAGAGCCAAAGTCGTCATAAGTGACTCGAAACTCTTCAGGTACTGCACTTGTAGTTTTTGACATTGTGATGGAATTGAGTTGAGAGATTCAGAGAAATATGCTTGTTTGTTTATGGGAAGTAAAAGAAGCAATTGTTAAGATACGCTCCAATTTTCATCTTTACTTCCTGAGTACCATGTAGTACCAGACATGATGCGAGCGACCACAATAACGTAAAGGTTAATGTGTATATGGACTATGTATATACGGACTATGTACGTAATAAATATAATTATATTTTATATTAATGCGGCCTCGGTTTCATATGCATTATGTAAGACGTGTCAAATCAAAACTTTATTTTCTTTTGTTTGTTTTAATAATCCTCTTGGCCTCCCTTTCTGTTCTATATCGTTTTTCAGTGTCATCACCAGCATATTACACGCAAATCCTGTACATGCATCTTAAACACCCTTCTCCACACATGTAAGTACTTGGCAGTTGCCAGTGCTATACTTCATTGTGCGTATGTGTGTCTCGTTCTGACAATTTATCTGAGAAAAGGCAAATGTATACACTTAGTTTATAGCTTCTCATTTTATGTTACTTGGTCCGATGCTAATGCTTTTTTCTTTGATCTTGTGATGAATATTGCTTCAATTCGATCCATGATTGAGGAATGTGGATGAAGTGGTGTGCACGAAATGGTTCGGTGGGACGAGGGAGGTGGTGTGCAAACTATCAATCCGGGCCGGCCAGGGTGCAAATAGATCTGCCCTTTTGTTCTCTTCATTTTGTGAGCTTCGTGTCCATGAATACATTCGTTAGACTGTCCACAACGTCGCTGACGGTCGCTGTTGCATTTTCGTCGATGTAGTCGATGAGGTGGCTTTGCTGCTCTGTTGCTAGGAAGGTAGGTTTGGGGCCGCGTTTTTTTATCTAGTTTTGGCATAGGGACTTTCTTCTCAGGACCATCTCTGTATGCCTTGGCCCATGATTGCCCAGTACGTGTGCTAACGCCGACTTCACGAGCTGCTGCTGCGGCGCTTAACAATGTGTCTTAGGTAACCAAAATAAAAAGATGTCTTTGCTTGTCCGTGTATGAATTGCTTGGGCGCTTTGTTGCATTGGCCTACTTTTCAATTTCTTTGGTCACTGCCGCTTTGCCCTTCATTCTTCTTCAAACGTTTGGCTGGATCAAATGTACCTGGCTTGCGCTGTTCGTAGCGTGACAAAGTTACCAGGCTCTCTAGTTCATCAGCATCATCCTCATCCATAGCATAGTTCCCTTCTGCGTAATAGTGATTTTCATGACCATCTTGAACAAAAAAGAGAAGGCGCCGAGAAATTCTCGTTGATGATGGGATAAGAAGCTTACATTATACAACAGCAAAAAATGGATATTGGGTAGTGGGCGGGTTATAAGGGTATCGCGCACAAGATAGAAAAGGGGATGGGGGATACAAGGTACAGTATATAATGTGGTATCCATTAGCAACATTTTGGGATGTTAATAAGCGGTATTAGCAGTAGCAGTAAGAATATAGTATTTGGCAGGAAGTTGCTAAGCGCCTCCTCGATGAAGCTCGCCTTGAAGCTGGTGGATCAAACGGGCAAGCTGGGCATTTTCATCACGGTGGGCTGCACATTTCTGCTGAAGTTCGTCTGTTTGTCGCTCAAATTGATGGATACGTGTCTATTGAATGGTAGTGGTAGTGCATGATGATGATGATGGTGTAGGATGCAAAAGATGATGGATGATGCATTGGAGGGGGGGGTATATTGGATTATAGATAAAGAAAATAACAGTAATATGAGATCAGATCATCATTGTATAGTACTAGAGAAACCCCCCCAGTAAGTCAAGCACAAAAGAAGAAATGGGAAAGGAAGCAGAAAATGAGATACAAATGAAAAAACCGGGCTCACTCCCTTGGGTCTCTTTCCAGCTCTCCCCAAAAAGAAAAGGTAGTAGTTGAGAAATAGATGTAGAAAGAAGAAAACTCACCTCATAGCCTTCTATCTGGCCTTCTATCTCGCCAATCTTTTCATTGGTTTCCTCTCGAACTCGGTCCATCTCCTTTTGTTTGGCAGCCGCTAGCGCCTTGACGCGATACGAGTAATCTTCGAGCTCTCGGTCCTTGAACTCCACCAACTTCTGATATTGTTCATGCATAACGTGGATCTCCTTTTTATGCTGCTGCGCAATCGCCGAAAGTCGCTCGTCACTAGCTGTCTTTGTCGTCTCCAACAGATCCTGCACAGCTTGCATTTCCTTGCGCAACTCCTGGAGCTCGCGTGCCTTTTCATGGCCCAAACGATTCAGCTGGGTCTCATGCGACTGCTTCAAATCCGAAACTCTGCGATGCAGTTCCTCCACCTCTTGCTTTTGAGCTTGCAACTTTTCTTCACACAATCGATGCACTGTCATCTCGTCTGATACAGACGGCTCCATCAATTGCTGTTGCTGTTGTTGTTTCTTGGTAGTATTGCGCTCCAATCGCTTCGTCGCTGCTTCAAGTGAATTTTGCAAGTCATCAATCTGTGTCAACAAGGATTCAATTTGATGCGCCTGGCTATCCAACTCGCTCTCTTGTGATTCACACTTGGTCTTCCAATCATTCACTTGTTCTTCGTAATCGTCTTTGGTGTCTTGTAATTTGGCTGCGTGCGTCTGCTCCAGTTCAATGGATGCAGCTTGCAAACGATCAATTTCTTGTTGTGCAGCTCGGTTCTTGCCCAACCAAACCTCCGCAGTATCGTCGCTGCCGCTTTGTAATTGCTGCATTTCATCTCGGAAACGACGTTCAAGAATCTCGGTCGCCTGGGCTGCTTGGCGTTTGTATTCGTCAAAGGCTGCTCGATTCTCGCTGAGCTGTCGTTCGAGACGACGCAAGTTACTAACAGTTCGAGAGTCGTCGAGTATTTTCTCCATATCGGCCATGCGCGTCTGCAGTTCTTGCACTGCATGTTCTTTCTCTTCACCTGCAGTCTGAAGTTTTTGCTATGAAAATTACAGGGTGTTAGTAGGAGACATTCCACACTGCAATAGAGAGCACAGAAAGAGAAAAGCATGTACTTGAAAAGCATGCTCAGCATCAGCCAGTTGCTTGGCATGATTGGCTTCGAGTTGCGTCAGTGCCTTCTCATGGTCGCTACGGATACCTTGTATCTCTGCTTGCCACTTGCGCTCCTGCTCTTCAATAAGAAGATCCATGGCGCTCTTGTGTGCAGCGCTGACCTCTTCATCCACCTGACGGCGAATTTCAGCCTTATTGAAAAAAAAAAACAAAACAAATAAATTCCAGTCATTTGGTGCCATAATAATACCTAGCTCATTAATCTTACTGCTACCTGTACGTACCTTTAATGTTTCTTGATCCTTCTATACAACAAATACAACCTGTGTCAGTCCGAAATAAATCAGAAACATAACGATTAGACTTTACTTACTGCTTCCACTGTAACGGCTTCCTTTTCTTCTTTAGCCTGTTTCAACTGCTTACGGATCGACTCGATTTCATGCTGATACTACAGGCAAAAGAGTCCCATCAACATGCCTTTTTCTCTCTCTCTCTCTCTCTCCTTTCTCCTTTCTGCTGCTGTGATGATAAAAGTTACCTCATGCTTAATCTTATCTACATCTTCATGCAGAGTAGCCTTGTCTACTGCACGCTCAGACTCTACAGAGGAATCGCATGGGATCAACATGGATGATGAAGACAACAAGGGCGTCGCAGGATCAGACGATTTGTCGGAAACTGACATATCTGTCAATTTCATTTGCAGCTCCTGAATGAATTGTTCTTTTTCTTCCAAAGTCTTTTCTTTATCCGCCAGCTAATATGAACAATTTTTGTGAGTCGACACAGAGACTTCTACGCAGAGAGACCGTCGTGTAAAAAAGTTCACCTTTTTCTGGAGTTCTTTGAGTTGTTCCATGGTTCGTTTAGACGTCGACGAGGATGCAGTAGGCGATGGTCCAGCAGGTGAGGACATGCGTTTCGCTGTCGATCCACGACGTAACAAGGGTGAAGGTTGTCCTGTTGCTGGTTGTTGGGAGGAGGATGTTGAAGAAGAAGATGCCGATGTCGATATCATGGACCGACGCCTTGCTGCTGATGTTGGTGTAGGTGTTCTGGGAGCACCACCAATAGGAGGAGAAGCTGCTGCTGCTTTGGCAGTGTTGATAGCAGCAGGTGTTTTGCGTACAGGTGCTTGTTTGCTCGACGATCGTTGAACTGTCGGAGACGATGGGGCAGTGCGATGACCAACACTTCCTGATGAGGATAATCCCGAGGATAATGTCGCTGTACCTGCCATGGATAATGGTCGTGGCCGTGTTGTTGTTCCAGGCGTTTTAGAAGCTCGAGTCCCTGGTGTTTTGGAAGCTCGTGTCGTACTTGCTGCTCGTCTAACGGTAGTACCACCAGTAGCAGCAGTAGTGGGTTCAGGAGCTGGTGCAGGTGTAGGTTTCTTGGGTGAAGAAGCAGGCGCGACTGTCGCGCCCAACGGCTTGATGCCAAGCTCGGCCAAGGTCGATCGCCGTTTTGTAGCAGCAGCAGCACTGTTGTTGCTTGCTCTATTCGGATTCGACGCCATCAAGCAAACACTTTCTCTTTTGTTTTCTCAAAAAAAGGTCCAAAAAGAAAGAAAGGAAGGAAGGAAGAGAGAACGCTACTGCAACGATTCTTTGACGGGTCGAGATTAAAGAAAAAGAAAAAAAAATGTGTGTGGGTGTTTTTTTTAAAATAGACTTTGGGTTCGAAATGTGTCACAATGCACTTGATAGCAAATCAGGCAAAGAGACATGAATTGCATTAACTTATTTTGTCGATCCCCTTATGACCCGCGCTTATTAGCGAACGGCCAGGAAGACTATCAACAACTCCTTGAGTCAGTAAAGATACGCCAGTGCGAATTCCAGACCCTGTCTGCTGGCGTCGCTGTTCGCTCATCTACAAACACTGGAAGATATAAAGAGGATCGTTCATTGATCATCCTGCCACGTCAGCTGTCAATAAGGGTGCACGTGATTGTCGCTTTGAGTGATACACCATACCCCGCTACTGTAATACTAGCTACTGCGTAGTAAAGAATCACAACCCGCTCCCGTAAACGGCATCCTTCTTTCTGGTGAGAAGATGATAGAAACAGGCTGCCGACCTGAATACAGCAGATGCGAGACACTCGTTTCAAATTGAAGGAAAAATAAAAACATGAAATTTTCCACAGCAGACTTTTTACACAAAAGGCTGTTCTTCTTTGGTTGGCATTGTTTTTCTCTCGCAACTATACCATATGCCTATATCCCATTCCTTCAAACGAGCTACATTCTTACGTCCTACCTATTGCCAATACTGCTCCAAGTTTCTTTGGGGAGTAGCACAACAGGGAGTACAATGCTCAGGTTCGTTGCTTATCATCATCCACAATAAGGTGTTGGCTCGATCCCATTTATCACTATCATATACCATTTAACCTTTCCTTCCTTGCTGTGTACGCATGATGAAACAAAATAGAGTGCGACTACGTGGCACATTACCATTGCCAGGATAACGCACCCGCAGAATGTCATGCGACACAACAGAAAGAGAAAAGAACACCGGCCGAAAACTCCTTATTGCATATCCAGCAAAAACTCAAAGGTAGCGAAACTATACAGCAGCCATCTTCATCGTTTGCGCCCATAGCATCATCAGATGGTGCTAGGCATAAACAGCGACAACAGCGAGAGGAGAAGAGACCGGTCAATCACATCATGCGTTCTTTGCAAGACCTCGTTGTATCAGCTGCACTCGAAGCATCAGACAATTATAATCAACCATCAGTCAGCGAGTATCTAAGCAATCAACCACCATTACAACCACATACCACAGCAAAGAACTTTACAAAATTTGTTACCCGATGCTCTATTGTGTTTGACATCCGCAACGCTGTCGTTCTCTTGTTATGTTGGGATGATCCTGTCAATACCTGGATTGCCGTCTTGGTATATTCGATCTTGTGTAAATTACAAAAATTCTTGTCCTTTCTATAGCAGTTAGAAAAAGAAGAAGCTGCTATTGACTGTTCCTACTTGTTGTTCCTTTCAATAGGCTGCTATCCAAAAGTACTGTTGATTGTTCCTCAGTGCGTCCTGTTATACTTTGTACTCTCCGAATCTGCTGCTGGTGCTACCACTGCCAGCAATAGCAACAACATCAATCACGTTAACACGACTACTTTTACTGTAAGCAGCCAGTCCTCTCCTTCCACAGAAAATATCAACAGGAACAACAACAAGAGCCGATCCGAAAGCCCTGCTAACAGCAGTGACAAGACAAGAATGGGATCTCCAAAAAACATTGCAAGTACCCCAGGCGGCAGTCTTACAGCCACCCTCGTCTCTTTATTGACAAGCCAAGATGGCACGCCCGAATACAGGAACAATCTGCAAAACATCCAAAACATGATGGGTGAATACGTTTTCATCCATGACCAAATCATTGTCTACAGGAACAGATACGTTAGAACGGACAACGCCAACATTACCATACAGCTGTTGGTCGTCTCCATGGCAATGACAATGGCTACTGTACGGTTTATCTCGCTCAATTATATCTTTTTGGCTTGCGGATGGTTCGCTTTTGTAATCAATCTTCCGTTTGTCAAAGTATGTTTACGTCGTGTTCGCCATGATCATTCAGCCACAAAAGACGTTATTGCAGTTGCGGCGGAAAAGACGATGCCAGTTCAAAAATGGTATAAAAGACAAACGAGTCGTCAGCCTTGCAGTGACTATCGGACAGTGTCTGTCTATGAAAACCAGACAAGAAGGAAAGAAGCAGAGCGTGATGACACACCTGTTTTTGTAGAGGTATCAAACCATGCTTTCAAGCGCGACACGGGTTGCATAGTGTACATAGCTAATAATAACACACACCACTAGGATCCATTAGTACCTTGGTCAAACCTCTATGGGACTACCCAATTGTCTGTTCCGGAACAAGTGGACCCACCGGAAGGATATCGCTGGAAGCAATCTGATCACTGGGCTGTAGACAAGACCGGACCATGGATAGACGAGTTACTCCAAATCGGTATTGCAATGAAAATTTCTTTTTAAAGAATCCAAAATCATTACCAAATACTAACCCTCGCTCACACACTCTTTTCTTTAGAAGTACGTAAAAGACGGGCAAGAGCTAGATGTTTATATACTGATTTCGAGAGAGAAATGACACCGTTTTTAGGTTGCTGTAAAGCCGCAAAAGCACAAAGAAGGATGGATCTACATGGATGACAATTGGTGTAACCCGCATCAAGAACCCACTGAGAAATCAAAAACCCGCCGTCGGCGCTGGATCAGAGATTGTCAAGAACTATCAGTAGTAGCAGTAGAGGGTGGTTAGGATCAAGAAGAATTCTTGACACATCCGTTCTAAATACTAGCAAGAAATAAACGCTGGTTTCTTTAATTGTTGTTGTTTCTTTATTTATGTACAATGCCTGTTTCTTTGCGCGACGCATGTGTTATGTAACAAGGAAAAGAGCGGGTAGTGAAAAATCGATTCGCGGGTCAATGTGTGTTGGTGTTGTTGTTGTATTGGAGTAGTAGGTGGTTTGATGTACTGGGGATCTGATCTATAATAGTCGAATATTGCCATCCAATAATAAGGAGCGAACATCACCATAACGCAGGATGAAAATATCATCCTTTTCAAACAACACCATTTCATCCCTAATAAAGAACAATCAGTACAACATATGCTTCTATGTTTTGAGCCCGAACCGCCCCCCCCCTTCACACAGCAATCTTCTTACTTTGCTAATTCTACATTGCCAGACCAATCCAGTACTTTGATAAATACAGGTGCTTCAAGATTGGATTTTACCACTGTCAAAATTTGATATGTAAAAAAAGAAAAGTAACATATCAGCTTACAACTTTGTCCCGGTCAAAGAGTATATATAAAAAGAAATCACATTACCCATATCTAATTCACCCGTTTTTTCATCCTGCTTATGTTGTTTTTCTGGTAGCGTGTTCAGGAAGGAATCGTAATGATGTTGTTCGACAAGTTGTTGGTATCTAATACAAAATGTCCCCCGTTTTTTTGTTAATAAGTTACATAGCGCTCATGTTTCTTCGCTCTGTACCTACTTTCGAGCATAAATAAGTTCCTTGTCAGACATCAACTGTTCACTCTCCTGATGCCGTAATAGATCCAATGTACATTTTTCAATCTATCCAAATATTTAGTCAACAGAATACAGCAGCAAAAAATTACAAACCGATATATTTGTAAAATTACCTTGTGAAGTCTTGTTCTTAAATAACTTTTAATAATGAATTTGATCCGTTCAATTTCGTTTTGGTATAACATGGAATTTAGTTTGTCTTGATGGGTTGTCATTGGCGTTTCTAAAATACGATTTACCTGTGTAGCAAAAGAAGAAGAAGAAGCAATTAAATTCTTGTGTGTACATGTGTGCGTGGTTAACAGAACGTTTTAAAATAAAAAATTTACTTGGAAATCAAGTGCTTCGACAAGTTCATTCACGAGGTATCCTTTATAGGTAAGTAATTCGGGTGCATTCCGTTCATTCATCCATGCTTCGGTCAATTGCTTAATGGTGTCTCCACTTTCTAACAATCCAACAGCATCGCCGAGTGAAGAAGCTCCTTCAAATAGGGCAGCCTGTGTGCTGCTGAATTCATTGAAACTGGAAGGTAGTGATGCAGAGTTCTCGTCGTCACCCAACATTTTTTTTAAAAAAGTTGAGTTGGAAGACGTAAAGTTCTCTCTCTCTCTAACAAAAACAACGTTTTTAGAACAAAAATAAAGTCAGGAACACGAATTTTCGCGACGCGCTTTCGCGTAGCGGATGAAATTGAGGGCTCCATGTATACAGGAACCCTATTTCGCGTGTGCCATTTGCCATGTTCCACATGTTACCAGCAAATGGGCTGTGCTAAAAAAAGCAGCAGTAAAAAGGGCATTGAGTGAAACAAATTGCCCAACCCCCCCACCAAAGGTACGCACACACACAACCCCCTTCCTCTCTCTCTCTCTCTTCGCCCATCCTTTTTCATTACGACTCTTTTCACTTCTTTACTCTTTTTTTTTCTTATCACCAGCACCAAATAGACACTGTATGGCCGACTTTTTCGATCGCCTTGGTAGAAAAAAGTCAAAACCTTCTCGCACGGCCACCGAGCCTAACGGCCGTAAGTCTCTCTCTCGCTCTCTATATTTTTTTTCTTTTTTCACACACACATAGACGACAAACAATGAAAACCCACTACAAAGGACCGTGCGTTTCTTCCCCCACCCCCTCCCCTTCTTTTGACCTGAGCACACACATATCTCTAATATCTTTTGCATAATATTAGAATCGAGAGGAGGAACAATCAATGTGTCACCGTCATGGCGATCGACGGGTCGGTCCACTACCGGAGCAGTGAACCACGATTCCGGTGGTACGAACAATAATGGCATTCCACCACGTTCTACGATTCCTGCCGAAAAGAAGCTAGATTTAATGTTCAACCAAATGCTCGTAAGTCTTTTTTTTTTCGCCCAACGTAGGGCAAACAAAATAAAGAGGGAATAACGTAATAATTATAATAATCAAATATTAACGCTAAATAAATATCAAATTTATATAACATTTTTGTACGATGTCCTCTACGCAACAACAAAAAACGTATATAAACACCGGGAAACTTCATCTTTTTCTTTTTCTCTCTCGCGCGCTCTCTAGGATCGACGAGGGATTCATGACGAACAGATACGACGAACCATGCGTGCTTGGGATGTTAACAAGAAATGGCTCATGGTGAACCAGGATCGACAAGCCGAAATGCTTGCCAGTTCAGATACTACTACTGCGACGACCTTCCAAGTGGCCGATCCAATCACTACTAGTACCGCTCATCCACAACCGCCGCCAATACGGACAGAAAAGTCTGGAGACAATAAAAAGATGATGTGGTCAAATACGCCGACCATGGTGCGATCACCGGATACCATGCATCATTCTCGCCGAGGTTATCAGCCGTTTCCAGAACCATCACGTAGTGCAGGCACATTGCGAGCAAGTCGGAGCAGTACAACAACCAATAGTAGTACTACTAGCAGTGGGAGCAGCACGAGTCCACGTTCTTCGAATGGAAGCACGATGCCCCCACCTTCATTGCAAGCAGCACAACAAGCAACAGTCTTGCTCGACTCTATACCTGTTGGTGACAAGAATTCGCCGGAATATTTCATTCGAAAATTCATGGAAACAAATCTAAGGGCGGTCTCGCCAGCGATAGCTGCGCATCTAGAAGTCAGTCTTCGAACTCGTCCCATCGAGTAAGTGTGTAACCCCTCCCTTTCTCCTCTTCTCTTGCGATATGATAGTAAGAGGACATCCACTCAAAGATCTTCCTTTTTAGCTGGGTTGCTCGATTTATCGAACTCAAGGGTTTGCACGTATTGGCACAAAATCTTGCTTTTTTGAATCGAATGCCAGACAGGTTAGGATCCAGTTCCGTTTTCTATTAAACAATTTCGGGGGGAGAGGAGGGGAAAAAAGGGAAGAGAGAGAGAGGCAGTCTATGCGGACTGTAACAGATAGAAATTTATAATGGTTTTCGTTCGAACGTCTACTAGGAAAGCCAAAGCTTTGGAAATAGAGATAGAGATCATTAAAGCAATCAAGGCATTGATCAATACTCGGGTATGTAAAACGCAAAGGCTTTTATCACTACTGGCAGTCTCTATAGGAAAAGAATTAATTTCTTATAGAACCCTAATAATAATAATCAATCAACTAAAACCTTGTTTTATTATTAATCTATACTGAAACTCTAAAATTAGCGAGGAGGCCACGAAATCATGGCCAATCCAGAGTATATTCATACCGTCGTCTTTTCATTGGTCTCGCCCCACTGGATAACGCGCAAACTGGTGTGCGAATTGCTTGTGTTTCTATGCTACTATCACCGGAAAAGGGGATACAATCACGTGCTGAAAGGGTTTGAGCTATTGCAACAACTTCGGCAGGATCCGGGAATGTTTGATGCTTGGCTAAAGGACTTTGAACGCACTCTGGACGGACGTGGACGGATGGGTACATTTGTGGGTGCCAATGAAGAATTCAAGCGGTTTGGCACGTATAATGGCGCAGATAGTCATCTCATGGAATACTCGGTATGGATTCAAAAAAAAAAATGGACATACTGGATATTGATGGAGATGGAGAAAGATGAAAATGTCTAACTGATATCTGCGTATTTATACATGTTTCGTTTGATAGCTATCGAATATGATTCTCGCCAATACCTTGACGAAAACACCACAAGAAATCCATGACCGTATATACCTGCGAAACCAACTCAATACCGGTGGAATGCAATCGCGTATTCTACCCAAGCTAGAAAGCTTTGACTACCACTTGCTCAATATCCAAATTGATACATACAGGATTGCATCCGAGAATGATTTTGACGAAGCTTTTGGCGACGAGTTTTCGCTCTATTCCGATATCTCACAACCATCCGAACTATTTGATTTAATTGTCGAGAACGTTTCCGAATCTCAAAATGCAAGTGATTCGTTATTGGCCATATTACGCAACTTGTTATTGATCAAGGGCGAGATAGGCTCAAAGTAAGTATAAGAAAGATGGGATACTTTTTTTTTGTTCTGGTCCATGCAGTGTGCCCCACACTCAACTTTTTTTTTTTTATAATTGCTTGTGTCATAGAGAACACTATTACCAAATTGTAAGTGCCTTTATCGGGCAACTCGTGCTAAACCTTCGTACCAATGCTTCCGGAGGAGGCGATAACGACACTAGCTCAATATACGGCGGGTCCGTCAATACATTGATCCAAAAATTCAGCAACCAAGATCGGCTCCAGCAGCTTGAGGATGAAGCGGCATATAATAGAGAGCAAGTGATGAAGCTGACGACGGAAAAACGAGAATTGGAGGTTGAATTACAAGACATGAGGATGCATCTTCGATCCGATGCTGTGTCAGTACGAGCTATGCCTGGAAACCAGGATGATTCAAATCGTAAGCACATAACACTGCAATCCTCCTCATCACACACAGACACACCTGTTTTCCTCTCTCACCACCCATACACTGTAGAAATACAAGCCATCAAGACAGAAAATGCCTCTTTGAGAGATCTTTTAAAGACATCCAGATCAACGATTGCCATGCTGCAAGAACGGTTACGTGAAATGGATGCCATTAGCGAAAGGGAAGAGGATCCATCCGTACCGGGCCTGGTACTAGGCGAAGAATGGAAGATGGCCCGAAAGAAGTTTATTACCTTGAACCCACGCCAAGAGGTATCCAATACTCTACCCCGAGAGAAAACAAAGAGGTGGACGAAATTGCTAATTGCAAAATAAAAACATTTCTATGATTAGGGTCAAGCAGAAGTTGTCAAAACTAGCAATTTGAAGCCAACAAAGGTGGGTCCAGCTGGAATGAATCTTCCAACGAGTCTACGCTCAGCAGCACCATTACGCAAAGATTCGACTGGAAGATATGTTTATCGAAAAGGGTCCCAATCATCCACCTCTACCACGACGAGCTCTTCTGCGGGACATAACATGAACCATGCTAGCGACAGTCCATTGTTCCAACCAGGCTCAGGAAGTCCACCTAGTCCTGTACCAGGTAATACTTCTCAACAGTATATGTCGAATTTACATGATGTATTATAACTTTGGCTAATATTTAGCACGACCCTCTGCTCCAGTGCCGCCACCACCACCTCCTCCACCTCCACCAGCCAGTACGCCAGGTAGTCGAAAAGCCCTTTTTCTATGTTTTATCATTTTTTAACGCATATCCAGGTCTAACCATACCAATATCTGTAGCATCTCCACCGCCTCCACCACCACCACCACCTCCACCTACTCCTGGTAAATACAAAGAACATATGTCTAACGTCTCTCTACTAACACATCATTCTAGCCTCAGGTGCTCCTCCTCCTCCTCCTCCTCCTCCTCCTCCACCACCACCACCACCACCGCCACCACGTAAGTTTCGTATACACATAAAGCAGTGTGATCCGGGTACGTCGATACTGACATTTCTGTGACAATAGCACCGGCTAGTGGGGCACCACCACCACCACCACCTCCTCCTCCTCCTCCACCTGGTTCTTCGCAGACCATTACTAAAAAAGAAGGTTTGTTCTCTCTTTTCATCTCTTGACAAGACCGAAAAAAATATACTAAACACATCATACCCCCCAATTTTTTTTACACCTTTGTAGCTGAAAACAACAACAACATCCCACCTGTTCCTAGCGGACCAAAACGTAAAGAACTACACCACTATCCAGAAATCAAACTCAAAAACCTTCAATGGCAAAAACTGGAAGTGCACAATGTCGACAAGACCATTTGGACGATGGAAGGTGTAGACGAAAGCGAGTTTGAAGACGTATTGCATCGCACGGGAGAACTGGAGAAAATCCAAGGTCAATTTGCTGCCAAGGTCAATACGTTGTTTGAACGTAAACTCAAGGCAAAGATGGAAGAACGTCGGGATGCTGTCAAGTTTTTGAGCAAGGAAAAGTCTCGCAACCTGAGTATGTGTGTCTCTCTGATTTCCTCTTTTCTACAAGAAAGATTAATTTTTTTTGTTTTTAAGATATTGCGGTGCTTCCACGCTTGAAGCATTTCGATTCGTTCGTTCAAGTCCGTCAGCATATTCTTGCAGTAGACGATCAACTCTGTACCGAAACTTTGTTGGGCAATTTGATTGCTTATGCGCCAAGCAAGGATGATGATCTCAAGAGCATGGAAAAGTATATCAAGGCGACCGAAGAAGAACGCAAAGTCTTGGATACTCCCGAACAGTTTACTATCGAGGTGAAATAAACATGACAGTTTTGTGTTTTATGATCAGCAAATGCTCACATAGGAACTCCATCCTGTCTACTAGATGATGAAAATATACAGATATGAAGCACGCCTGCAGTTTATGCTTTTCCGAATTCAGTTCTGGGAACGCTATGATCAGTTGACAAAGGTAATCCATTGTTTTCTGTTTTTTTGTGGTTGCTGCTGCAGATAACAGTAGAGGCTTTTGCAGTTTACTGATGCTTAGTGACAACAAAAAAAAGAACATGACAATGGTAGTTGAAGTATGCGATTCATTACGCAATTCATCGAGCCTAAAGGAGCTGCTTTGCGTAAGTATATCTTTTTTCTAAGCAAGTGATGCTGGTGTAAATATATCAACAGGAAAAAAAATCGTTTTGGCTGATAGTGTTATACTGTCTCTACTAGTTGATTCTGATGCTCGGTAACTACATGAACGCATCAAGTCTACAAGGTGGTGCGTTCGGTATGCGTGTAACAAGTATCAACAAGGTAAATTCAGAATAAGCGTAAAACCCCAAGAAGTTGGCCTACCAACTTACTCATCACTTTTAAAGCTGTCGGACACCAAAGCATCAAGCAACTCTTCGATGACGCTTCTGAATGTATTGGTCGGTATTACACGTCGCCAATTCCCACATATCCAGCGATTCCAGCATGACCTGCGGAATGTTCAACATGCTGCTCGAAGTAATAACTAATATTAAAAAGAAAGGTAGAAGAAAAGAAAGCTGTGAAAACTAACAATACTCTATAAAGTCATGGCGACTGTCAATGACATGGTAGAACAATACACGGACATGCGCCAGAACCTGAAAAAGCTCGATGTAGAACTAGACACCAAATGGAAGAAGAAGAAGAACGAGGACAACAGTGACATCGAGCTTGACAAAGACGACCGATTCCTTCAAGTCATGGAAAAGCATCGAAATGCAGCATCTGAACGGTTCGAGGAACTCGAAATTCTGTATATCAATATGGATGCCAAATGGAAAGATGTCATGACGTTCTACGGCGAAAACCCCAAGGCGATGCGACCGGATGACTTCTTTAGTATATTTACAAAGTTTCTTGCGAGTTGGAAAGAGGCAAGCATTGCTGAAGACAAGCAAGTGCAACGACTTGAACGTGAGGCGAAGCGAAAGCGCGCTGAAGAGGCACGGCAAGCAAGATTGAAAGCTCTCAAGGAAGCTGACGATGAAGCTGCTTTTGGTGACGATGACGATGAACCACCGACAAGTCCTGGTGGTACGCTCAAAGAAGATGATCGTCGCATGATGGATAATTTGCTTGAAAAGTTGCGCACAGGTGAATCAGGGAATCGACAACGACGTGAGCGCCGACGACGACAGCAACGACGCATGTTGCAACAACAGCAACAACAACAGTCGCCTACATCACCATTGCCCGAAGACGACGATGAAGAACAACAGGAGCCAATGATGACTGAGATATCAGCCGAGGATCTGTTGAAGCACCTTCAAGCTGAATCAATGACCCCACCACCACCCGTTACTACTACTACTACTACTACTACCAGTACACTGTAGTTTATATATTACCTACCTCGCATACATACATTCATCTATATCTCTATATTATCCTCCTTCATTTTGTTGTATCTATTAGCCACCCAATCTTCGCGTACATATATCATGTCTATCCCCCTTCCCCAACCCTTCACACACACACACACACACTCTCTCTCTCTTTTTTTCTTGCATTTTAGAAGATGCTCTTTTCCAAGACATTCTCGCACATAAACAATCTATATAAAGGCAAAAAAGATGAAATTGTTAATCTTTTGGTGTGAGGCCAGCTACCGAAGAGTATGGCTTCACATCAAAACCCAACCACTGACCTCGGTTTTTGCAAGAATGCTCGTTTCCGCTTCTCTTCTTTTCCTCCAATTTTTTTGTTAAAACTATCAAGCCAGCATAATAAAACCAAAAAGACCAATGCACGAGCAGCTTCAGTGCCTGCCATGTTCCGAACCCGTCCTTTCATTGAGCCACCGCATCTGGACTTTTCTACGTGGAATGAACATGTTGAAAATCACAGCAACGACGACGACAATAACAACACGACGTTCCCAACGTTGGATTTAGGTTAACTTTCTTCTCTATAATGACTGAAACTTGGTGATCGTATCAAAGTCTCACATGTATAGACATATATACAGATCTACCGACCTCTTGGGCACAAACGTTTGACGGTCTTTCTCAAACCGGTGTCAGTTTAATTGATCGCGTCATTGCTAAAGAACAAGCGCAGCAGCAACGATCTACTGTAACTACAACAACAACACGCGCAGTCGAATCGCAACCAACAACACTACTGCTACTGCGAGAAACGCCTATTTCGCCTTATAATGTTCCACAACAACAACAACAACAACAAGAACAAGATACTCGTGATGATGATGATGATGATGATGATATGGAATCGATATGGGAGCAACCTTTACAGCCGCAGCAGCAGCAGCAACAGCAACAGCAAGGCGAAACAAACGCGAAATCATTGTTGACCTGGGATGATCGTGTAGAAACAACAAAACCGTTTCTGACAGAACTCCCTTTATACGTCTCTGAGGCAATATTTCAAACGAGGTAACAATTTGCAATCAACAGAGACCTCGTACCATAGCTCCCATGGATTAAATTAGACACTGTGTTTATTATATAAAAAAAATCCCAGAGAAACAGCACAAGAGGGTCAAACCAATATACCCGTTGTCAAAGAACAACAACTCGTGCAGGTAAGTCTACTTTCTGTGTGTCCGTACACATCTATAATGTATACTTGTTTTTGATTGGGTATACGTAACAAATCGTATTGTATGACCTTTTACGTAGAGTCTAATGCAAACACTCCAAGGATATCCATCCGTTTGTTTCCAATGGAACGACACTTCACGTGCATTTGAATCCAGTATACCGCTTGTACGAATGCTCGGTGTGAGCATGATTGCTATGCAAACGTAAGATTTAGACCCCCGAAATAATAAAAACCTCCTTTGAGAATAGCAAAGTTAATAATCATCATCATCTAGAGTTGTTGAGGAGTTGCTTCAATTTGGAACACAAATGAAAAAGCTGGAACGTGTTATACGGATATGCAAAACAAACCCAAGGTGAAAAGCGAAAAAGAAAAAGAAAAATGATCATCATGTGTGCGTGTAACGGATGGAGAACACTAGTAACACAAAATGCAAACATAATAGGCGCTATGGCTTAACAGGCACTGCGTTCGCGTGCTGCTTAGCAGACTTGCATTTACAGATTCAGCACTCGTTAGGTACCGTCTTTGCTGTAGAAAACGATTGGACAGTATTGAAAGTATATCACCACGTTTCAACACTAGCGAATGTGGTCAATCGACTTGCTCACCTTGTTCATTTGGATGGTGTAGCTGCACCAGTCGAGGTGAGACAGATTTATATAGTATCCGCTTTATTTTATAAAACTAACTTTTTCATTATATATATAACTAGAATGCAGCATCTCCTGAAGCGATTCGAGATATGTGTCAAGTTGGTTTCTACATTCCCACGGGCAGCAAGTTACTGGAGAGACTGTGCGAAGAAATCACGCCCCTTGATTACGCCGTGTCTGGAGGAAACACGGCGTTTTATCGGGACCTGTGTCTCGCCATGCTATGTCATTCCAGTATTCCATACCTGACAATGCTTAGTGAATGGCTTGGACTAAGCAGTAAAACCTTTTTGAGTACCACCTCCAACGACGACCATTTTTCAAGTACCACATCATCAAGCTCAGCAGCAGTGGAGACCGTTTGGAAGGATATTCTGGATGCCTCGCCCGTACGTGATCCATACCATGAATTCTTTCTTCTTGATGAGCATCCTTCAAGAGAATCCTTGGTGGACCGTTTTCAGGTATAAACTCTCTAGGGCTGTAGTAGTCCATTCTCTTTGCTCTGTAATATATATACGGACTGATATAGAGAATTTTTTTCTTCTTCTACTGTAGCCAAGAAAAGAGGATGAATTGCCCCACTTTTTCAACTCGATGCAGGCTGGCGTCATTCTACGCACGGGCAACGCCCTGCAGCTGTTACGCCGTTTCAAACCAGAACATCCGCTGTGCTGCATCACAGGAGGAGGCCAAGATCAAAATAGCTCAGAGCTGATGCTACGCTGGATGCCCCTAGAAGCACAAAGTCACGAGTAAGTGTTCTACATAGAGTGTACTTTTTTTACTTGCCACTGTAAATTTTATTCATTGCCCTTTATTTAGATATATCAACAAGCTGCATGCATTTGCTCGCCTTGTTCGCCAATACAATGAGGATCCTGCATCTATATCATTTTCAGTATGTTACAGTGAACGCTTTAAAAAATGAGGGGATTTCTATGGTTTAGTAAAGGATGGATGGAGGGCACGTGTGGGTGTAAATATAATGGTGAACTGAGTTTCTTTCTTTTTTAGGATCTTGCAAAACCATTCAACAGCAACAGCAGCGTTGACGATGACGATGCTGAAATGCAAGAGCCCGAACAAGAAACGAATAATCTAATCCCCACGCTCAAACCTCTGGATCAAGAGATCAAACTCGTCACGGACTTTTACAAAACGCTTGACACGATCTTGTTGTGTCACCCAATCGATGACTCCCACAGGACCGACAAGAATTTGCAGTATATCCCGGTGTTACACACCATCACAGATCAGAGCGTGCATCAGCCTCTGGCAATATGGTGTCCACTCGTGAACGAATCAGCCATGAAACTGTTTATTGAAAAGTTCCACATTCAAGCTCATTTCGAGTTGATTCGCCGGTTCTTTTTGTTCGGCGACGATCGATTCACTAGTGCTATGGTGGATGCGTTATTCAGTACTGGCGCGGATAATGAAGAAGAACCTGGTGACAGTGGATCAAGAACAGCAGCAGTGGTGGTGGGAATTAAGTTACATGGGAGGACAAAACAATGGCCTCCACGTACATCGGATTTGAACATGTCCTTGAGAGCCGTGTTGCTGGAAAGTCTGGCACAGATGCCAGCTGATATTCAGGGGGATATCTGCAAGCCACATCAGCAGCAGCAGCAGCAGCAGCAGTCGTTGGATCAGGCCACTGTAGATATCGATGACGTTTTAACGTTTGGCGTACGAGAAGAACAAGGAGACCATGGCAACAGCAAACGGTGGTGTGATGCACGCAGTAAGTTTCTTTGTTGGGGTTGGGGTTGGGGTTGGGGGTGTTGTGGGGGCAGCGGGAAAGAATGTTTCTAATATGGACACTGTACTATGTTATTACCATAATAGAGATTGATGCGTTGGATTTCTTGTGTTTGCAATACCGAGTTCCTTATCCGCTGGACATTATAATCAACAACCGCACGCTGGACAAGTACAATCGCATGTTTACATTCCTGTTACAACTACATCGGATCAATGCTACAGTCAAATACATTTACCAAAAACTACGCACACAACACCATTCTTCCTCTTCCTCAACATCATCGCCGCTTCAACTATTACAGCATCGAATGCGGTTTCAAGTCGGACAGTTTGTGAATACGCTGAGCGGATATGTATATGATACAGCGATCCACAGTACCTGGCTTTCAATGATCAAACGCATTCAACAGAAGCAGCAGCAGCAGCAACAAGACAGTAGCAATAACTTGTTTCAGACGATGGATCCAATCATGTTTGGCGAATACCACGAGCACGTTTTGGATCGAATGCTCTATCAATGCTTCTTGAAAAAAAGTCAGCAGCCGATCAAGCACATGTTGAATCAAGTTTTCGAGGATGTATTAGCCTTTGCTATGGTACTGGATGAACAACAGTTACGGCAACGGACGACACATCCTGACGGTAATCAAATGAGACAACAAGAGCAACTGTTGAAGCAATTCATGGAGCATGCACATCAGTTTATTAAGGTTCTAAGCAAGCTGCACGACCGCGGGATCGGACGTCTGGGCAACGTGATGAACTCGCGGAATTTAGAGGGCAGCTTTGGTGTGTTTGGTGATTTTCATGACAAGTTGGATGCCAAGAGTGGACAAGGTGCATTTGCTCAGGAACTTTTAACTCGATTAGATATAAATCAAAACTATTTACAATCATGATCCCTCATAATATAGTATAGACATCCATTTGCTTCAAAAAACTTAGTGTATCGATTCAAAAAAGATTGGAATTTGCGGTGCACCGCACTTTATCTATATACTAATTTCCCCACTATAAAACCATACTGCGCATGTGCGCATACAGTCATTTCAGAAAGTAAACTCGCTGATTTTAAGTTTGATGTCGTACCAAAAAGTTGTCTGTCCGACAACAATGTCAACTGATCCAAAAATAAAGACGCGTTCATGTGCCCTGTATTCTCCTGAACTTAATCCAATTGAGCAGTTCTGGTCTGTTGTTAAGAGTAAGGTGAAGCGAAATAAGCTATGATATTGGAAAAAGGAACATTAATGACTAGGATCAGTGAAGCACGCGATAGCTTATATTTAAATGATTTCAAAGGTTTTGTTCCACATACTGTCAAATGTTTTGGTAAGTGTCTCGACAAAGAAAGATTGTAGTATCTCTCTGCCGACTTCAGATACTTACTATTGGGAGCGTGAATGGGTAGACAGTATGAATCAATATAATAAGGTGAGACTCAAATATATGAAAGGATAAAACGGTAGGGATCCATATAACTCAGGATCCTGTCTTATATATACGTAGAGTAATATGGGGCTAGCTACCGTCTAAATATTGATCTACATCATACTTCTATCTAGAATATTTATGCCTATTACTCCTTATTCAACAAGAGGTTGACCGCAAGTCACCCTTACTAACCTCCTCTATGTTGTTGTATCACATTCTCCAGGGTGCTTGGTTCAAGGTCATAGTTGTGATACTGGCGGAAATAGTTAAAGATATGTTCCTTGACTTCCTCCATGGTTATATCCTCAGGTGGATTTTCAAGGTCGTCTTCATTCGTGAAATGAAGAATCATATCTTTCTTGTTTTTCGTTCCACTATATGCATAGAAGCATATATAATTAGCATTTACCCCGTACAACAATCCAAAGCTGATACTTGGTATACAATAAAAGAAACATTTTCTTACTAGTTACAAACGTTGTAACTATTCCTGTTTAGCGTCACATTGTCGGTCATGAAGGCCTTAAGCCGTGTATGCACTCCATCCATAGCACCATACGCGTTTGCTATTTGCCATTGTGAGGATTGGTATGATTTCCAAAGGTGCTTCACTACGGCTGCTTCTCCTGAATATGGTTTTTTGCCATCGTCAGAGCAAATATAGCATCTCAAGGGCCCGTGGATTTTCTGGGGTATATTCAATAGAAAACTTACATATATACATTGTAGATAAGTTTATTGCTATTATATACCAGCATGCCGTTTACACGATCTGATGTAAACGAATATTTACTTACTCTAAACGCTCCACCCTTGGATCGTTAAGATTTCTTGGCGGTATCTGCGCGGGTCCTTGGTCAGATTCTTCATGGTCAGATTCTTCATGGGCAGATTCGACGGCATCTTGTTGCGGACTAAATATGTCGATATATTTCAGGGTACATCAATAAAAAGAGTAAAAAACCTGTACCATTGTATACACTGTCAAGTACCTTTGATCATCATCATTTCACTAACCACTGCCCATGTCGGAAAACGCAACACTCCCTTGCTGTCAAGGGTTATATCTTGTTGCAGCTTGACAAATGTAGCTGTTCTTTTGTTTCGTTTGGCTATCCTGTATGCCGTATTATTCCGACTGTGTACGATTGCCTTTTGGCTGGCGATGTCTTGTGGTGTAGCTTCAGTTGACATCTCCAAGGTCTTCAATGTTGCAACCGCTTCTTTCACGGGCTCTGTTTCGTTGGCTTTGTATTTTTCTTCTTTTTGTCAAAGCCAAAGCCTTAAGTTCGGAAATGCGGAATTCGGCAGGAGTCTAGATATCTGGGTCAATCAAGCGATTGACTCTTCCTTCTAGTTGCAAGGACATCATGTCAAAGGTTTCCATTCGATCTTGGTACGACCGCCAGAAAGTGATGCTGGTATCCGCATGGCCAGCGAGTCGACGTACGCCATGGTCATCAAAGTCGGAAGATTGTGCGATCTATAATCCCGCGAGCAAGGAATACCATTGTATATGAGCTGCAGAAAAGATAGGTGATAAAGCCGACATTGAATGTTAACAAACAAAACCTTTCATGTACAGATGATTGCAAGGCTAAAGAAACTTTCTTAAGCGGCGGTCCGACGGCCTTCGCACTTTCTAAAAAAGTGTTCGCTATGTGCTCACTTGTTGCGGCTTTGCCTTGCAATAATGATCGACTAAAATAGTTTTGATAAACTTTTGTGTTAATATACCCCGTTATATGTTCAATTGCAGTAATAATAACCTTCTTTTTACTCACCGGTTTCTGCTCATCTGTAGAAATACAGGGTCATTCGCATGGGCATTTTTGTTTGGAAAGACACTCTGACCGGAGTTGTACCATTCATGGACTTCTGTATCAGCAATACCACGCTTGACGACAAGAGCAATAAGTGTCAAGCCAAAATCAAGGTCTAAGGAGCTACTTGGAGATTGGATTGTTCTTGTCTCGTTGCGGTGACGAGCAGTTGCATCATTGCTACGCTTTTTCATATGGGTAAACTCGAGGCGTACAGCAAAAACATCGCCATTGTTATCTCGTCTTGTTCTTCTTATGATGACTTGCTTCCAACGTAGAACGTTGTGTTCATGGTCTTTAATCAAGGGCGGGACAATGCTGCTTGGTCGCATCCCGGTGAGGAAGCCGTTGAGCAGGGCGGCCGCGTTTTGTAGTTGATCCAACACACATGTGGTGCCATGGTGTATAATATGATTCAAGGCCATATGCACTTCGGCAGACTTCGCCACAGCTCGTGCTCGGCCACTGTTGTCGATAAGTTCTTGCTCGCGCAAGAACATCAAGGTCGCAAGAGTAGCAATGTAAAGACTGTCCGGAACTGTCCAGCCTGGATTTCTTCGCTTCGCCTTCTTTTAAAGCAGACAAATGTCATTCATCAGTATATTTTTTTGACTTATTGTAAGAGTGCTACTTCAAAACTCACCTCATGCAGGATACGCTTCATTTCGTCTCGCAAAGTGCTTTGTTGTAGTATGCCATATTCATGGACACGACCTCCGAGTCGTGACGCACCTAAGGTCAAATAATCAGATATGGTTTCTACAACAGTCGTCATTGTGAGTTTGCTTTCTTTTTTTTCTTTCAAGAAAAATTAAGAGGCAAGGAAGGAACCAGGAGTGAACGATTCTATTTTCCAAGCCTCTTCCACCAAAGCAAGCTCTTGTTCGGACGAGATGTCATCATGGGCATGCAAGGACAAGTACACACCGGCCCATTTTCTATGTGTATATGCATGGGCTCTTTCTGTGATGGCATTACGCTTTGTGAGTGCCTGGCCTGAGTTTGCGCGCACAGCATTCAGCAAGGTCTGCATATCGTATTTCTCTCTCAAAGCCTTCATCGCGGTCGTCTGTTTGGCTGTTTGATCGCCAAGTATCTTCTTGGCTCTGGGATCATTCATGGAGATGTTTAGAGGAAAATTATGCCGCTCGTTAAGGTGCCAATTGTATGGCTTGTCAACCTCGATCGTCTATTCTAGTGGAGTGTTTTACAATAAGTTATTACAAATCTGATTCCTTGTTGATACGCTTCCATGGCCCATACATTGCTCGTAGTATATCCTATCGATCTTTCATTTTTTCGCTTCTTTAACAGTATCATATTTAGTTTACTGTGTTGGATATCATCAATCCGTGTATCTACTGTATGCTTTACATACTTCTGAAACAGTGATCTCATTTATGATGTATTTCGTCTATGGGAGCTACTACGCGCACGATTAAACTTGACGTCACGCACGCAATTTTTTTTTTGGCAGTTGCACATGCGTACCGCCTATTTGGGTGTAACAACCATACCTGACAATCATTTACTGCCATCTTAACCACTTGCGCTGCTCGATGCGGTTATAGGCACCACAATGTTTGCAAAGTAATGAGCAAGCACGTTTATTCGTAGCCTTACTGTTGACTTAAAACCCGTTACTGCTCGCATAGCCGGTTACTGCTTCTTTTGGATCGTCTAAAGTGTCGAAACACAGCTCAGTAATGGATCCCATTGTATTCTTTGCGAAGAAAAAAAAGAAAGGAAGAACACGACGGATAAACACCTCCTCTACATTCAACACATAACAGACTTGAGTAGCCAGAATGTTTGAGATAGTTGATAGCTGACTTTGATAATCCATCGCCCGCATGTGAGCTTTTCCGGATTCATTGTGGTACATACTACCAGTATCTATCTACCATCTATGTCGTGTCTTTCAAACTGTGCAAGAGACGGTGCGTACGACAGCTGCAGAATACTAAACTACCACAGAAATTGTCGTGCGCGAGGTCACGTTTTGTCGTGCGCGAGGTCACGTTTTGTCGTGCGCGTAGTAATTCACTTTTCTTAATACATCTTTGTCTATTATGTCTCTCATGGAGTCGCTTTTCGGCCAAGACTCAACTCATCAAAGATATCTTACCACCGGTCTTTGGCACCACCTTGTGGTCACTTCTGGCATCCCTGTCGACCCCGCTTCATTCTGGTTTTTCCTTGTTTACGTGGTCTCGATGCAAGGGACTCTACCACCGTCGGCTACCTGCTGTATCGTGCTATCGATCAACTTTCAATCGACTGGCTATTCTCCAACCTCCCTGCCGCATCAGTCCTCCAACTCCCACTCAACGCCATTTGGGCCTCAAAATCGGTAACACCCGCCTACATCGTCCTGGTTTCAAAACAATGAAAGTATCTGATATCTGTACTTCGACGACTCACATGGCTATCTCCACCGTCGCTCAATTGCGATGGTATTGTACGGCGGATTCTCACTAATCGATTTTTCAAAGATCTGGCTCAAGGACGACTCTTCATGATCAATGGCTTTGCACGTCTCTGTCTCCCCCCAGCATTTTCAGGCAACAGCCACTCTGGGCGTCTTGGCGCAATTGATGCATCACCACTCTCTCGCCGCATGCATACCACCTTGCCGAAATGGCAGACAAAACGATATCGCCACACCTGCTCACCACCACTACATAGTGTCACTGGCATTACTACTCAACATTGGTCCAACTTTTGGTCACACACTGCCCGCAACGTCTGGTACCGCGCTATCCACGGGACATTACCAACTTCATCACGCCTTCATCGCTTCCATATCTCTCATGCTACATCACCAGATTGTCATCTTTGTCGCTCCAACAACGATACTACGACCCACTTCCTACTTGACTGCCCTCGCAAATATCAAGTGTGGCAACTAGTTTGGGGCCGCCTTCGGTACTCGGATCCTAACTCAAACTCGATCCTGTCACTCCTCTATCAAATCACATTACCCGACGAGTCACCTACACGCCCAATCACCACACCGACTATCATTGCCTGTATCCTACAAACAATCTGGGCGGCCTTTTGGCGTTTTATCTTCCATGATGAGCCATTCGTACCACGCCTGGTCACCACCCGCGTCTCTTCTCTGCTAGCCCGCTTTAGACCTCCACCTTTATAACCATCTCTTCTCTGTAACAACCCACACACAAAAAAAAAAAATAGATACAATCTATCCCTTTTCCCTTTAATCTCCAACTCCTTATTCAACCGCACCTTATTGTTCTTAGCCATAGTCACGCTCATGTATCGTATTGTCAATCCGTACTACAAGTTTCGCACACAGCCAGCCACTGTCATAGACACTCGGGCATGCAGATAAATTCACTTATTTCGAGGCCGAACAACCTCCATAAAAAAATATGTCTCCCAACACCACTGTCAGCTCTTCCACGTATCAGACCTCGCAAATGGCTATGTGTGAATCTCTAATGAAATGCACCGTGAAGTACTCGAAGCACGCCCAGCCAACACCAAAAAAACCTTAGTCAATAAAAAGCGGGATACCGTAAATGGTGCGTTACAATGATGCCAAAATTTGCCTGCAGAAGCTCGTTATATTGTTTATGGCGACAAACTTCATTTGTTTCTAAAGGAAGAGGTATGTACGACAATTTTGAATTGTGCGACTTCAAGTTCATGGTTTTGCTTTACTGCTTCTTAACTTAATACAATCTCAAGTAAGAGGTCACGAGCCGTGATGCTCGTCGCAAGGGCAAAGGATCGGCGCAGCTCATAAAAATCAAGGTTTCCACTTTCATGAGCTACGTTGCAGCCATTGTCGATTTATATCAGCAACAAGTTCGTTCGTTTGCCAATAGCCATCCTCATCCACGTAGCGCTGTCAAGGAACTTATCGACCTCGTCCAAATCCGCGACGAGAATATTACGACGAACGCGCACTTGAAACATTGATCGATGGATATACGACCACCGATCAAATTGCCGACGTTGTCGATTACTACATAGCCAAGAACGAAGGGTCCTCTTGCGCAATGCTCTTGCATTTTTGCTTTCTCACTACTGTTTGTTGCATAGCGAGTCGGCCCGGAAGGCCACCTTTATACCCGACATGCACAGTGTCGGACTGGAGCTTGAAGGCCCGTCCAAATGCCATTCCCTCATGATGATCACCAAGCAAGGAAAGACAAACAAGCACGGTCGTTAGGAACTTGTAGCTTGCATCCGGAACACCCGCGTCGAAATATGCCCCTTCATGGCTCTTTCATTTTATTTTTTCTGGCGTTGGCATGTCGAAAACGAACCACCATTCCCCTTCTTCACTCACAAACGATATTGGTATGATATCCGCTTGCTCAAGGGCACTTCTCCTTCCGCCACCAACACCACCGAAATCTCATATCAGGAGCAACTTCGAGCAATCGACGAGGCGTTCGCCAAATGTAACATTGTCTCCTCCAACAAGACCCATGCGGCCCGTGGCTCCTCATGCAAGATGGCAGATTTGGATGGTGCTGATGAGGCGCAATTAAGAAGATTAGGCAGTTGGAACAACACCACGATGAATGGTGCTTATTTAACAAGTCCTCCTCGCAAAGTCATGCGTGTCTTGGCCGGCTTTCCTACTCAACAGGGATGCTTCTTTTTGCCTCGTACTGCCGTTGACCATCAAATATTCAAAGAGCCGCTATACATCCAGCTTAAAGCGTAAGGGTTGATTTAAAAAAAATGCAGATGATCATCAATATGGTACTTATTGTTGTTACTATTTTAACTATTAGAGATCCTCAACGATCCATCCGAGAAGATGCCACCCCTTCAAGATCTGCTCTTGCAACGTGCTGTACCCAACCTTGAGCAACGCATGAGCACGATGAACACTGAAATGGTTTCGCGTTTGAATGCAACGCAGAAGCAGAAGGCAAAATGACCGAGAAACTTCCTGACCTGGTATCCAGCCGTGCGGCGGTATACCTAAGCATCAATTGGCCATCAGCAGCAGCAGCAGCACCATCCAGAGCAGCAGCCAACAACAGCAACAGTTACATCCATCCCGAGTTCAGCACCTTTTGAGTCACTGGATCTTGATGCAACGAGTGAGCCCCATTTTACATGATGAACCGGGGGATCAAGACTGTCACTGACCTTTGGGCAGAGTGGTCGGTTGGGCTTGCTGGGGGCTATGCAGTGAAAACGTGGGGTGCAAAATGGAGAAACGGCGATCGTAAGTTCTTCAGTCGCAAATTCAAGATCATTAAGGAGGTCGAGCGATTTGCCCCTGCTAATGGGATTTCGGAAACGACAGCAGCAGCAATGGGTGAAGAAAGGCGCAATGCTCTTGGTCTTAGCCTAAACGAGCTTAACAAGTAAGCGACAGCGATTCTCCAAAAGTATCTAGGTGTTTAGCTTTTTTCTCCCTATGCTAAACTGTTTAGCAGACCCACTTAAACTATTTACGTATATAAAAAGAAACGTATTTTGTTTGAAGATAAGAAGCGTCGCTTATTGTAAAATATTTTTTGGTCATATGTTTGAGATGTTTTCTAAATCGAAACTCTGGTCTGTCTTCCCTCGCGGGTCCAATGTCCGGGTCGTCATATTCTGACACTTCAAGGCCCCAGACAAAGTTTCGCATTCTCCTGGATGATGCAGACCTTACGATCGCCGGACTGACAGTCTATTAACGTTTCGTGTAAAGTTAGTGCAAAAATGTCGTAGTTTGATGGCTCTATAAAAGAACTAGGATCGAAGCGAGCAATGTACGCTAATAACAAGTGCCAAAATGCCTCCACGACTGCATTAATATAACAGGACATCTCTTTGTTCGGATTCAGCGATAAATTATTACTTTGCGATGACGGTATATGCTGTATCTCGTGCCGATCCTCGTTTTCTGACTATTCATCATCGTTAACCAACGACATCAGTAGCTGCTCTATTTCTTCGTCAGGGATAGGTTTTGTTGCTGTTCCGGTGCTAGAAAGTGTGTTGTCGTTATTGTTGTTGCTGACGTTGTCGTTGAGGAAGCTGTTGCTGATTTCGCATGCTCGATAGGATATGATAGAGCCAAATTTGGAGACACTCGAGCTGACAACGTAGCATCCTCCAGCTCATGGAAATCTGCTTTTTTTGCGGTCTCCTTCGCGATTTCTAAATGATACCCGCATCTATCCAATGAGCCCAAAAGAAGGTCAAACTCGGCGCCAGCCATAGTGACTTTGCCTGTTTTCTCGTTCGTGCCGTTCTTCAATTCTGATAGCTTCAAAGCAGGATTATCGCGGGGCAATTCCAGAAGCACAGCCTTCTTTTCTTGAGAAAGATGCTTCCCGATATATGTTCCGTAAGAACGGCAACCCTCATGGAGCACTCTACACTGGTCACCCTGAGAAATAGAAGTGAACTTTGGCAGGAAAGGTCTTTAATTCAAAACGATGACCGCATTCATCGCAAGCTTTTTCTAAGCTGGTTCTCGAGAGCAGCTGGTTTCACGGCAGGTCTGATCGCACCACCGTTGAAGTCGCACTTCTTGCCGATTCGACGCGTCTTGCCATCAGCCTATGTTCAGATTGTGTTTCGCATACTCGCGTTTATTTACGTCAAATTCAGCGGCTACAACAACAGTATAGCTACCGTTGGGGAAGTGAAGTTTTTCTTCGCAAAAAGTAACAGGGGACGTTTTTGACATAATGTTAAAATGAAATAGAAAGGTACACGGTGGTGCATGACTTGGCGAACCGTGTGTCTACAATTTATTGACTTGGCGAACCGTGTGTCTACAGTTTATTGAGATGGCGAACCGTGTGTCTACAATTTATTGAGATGGCGAACCGTGTGTCTACAATTTATTGACTTGGCGAACCGTGTGTCTACAATTCATTGAGATGGCGAACTGGGTGTCTACAATTTATTGCACCACTGGCGCACAAAATTCCCTGCTAAAAATTGCCCGGTAAAACCTTTTATTTGCGAAAGTTAGCAGTTTTCGAACCAGAGTTAATCACTAATTTTGCTAACTTTCAATTTAGCTGACTATCCCCTTTTGCCTAGGGGCCATTTTTCCGCCCACATATAATGATGCTTATTGTATGTCATCACATACAATGTGTACTTTTTTACTCTCAAAATAATTGCTCTACAGCAGCCTAAAGGTATCATATGACTGTATGTATATATGTGATAAGAAAGACATGAATGGAATTAATATACTACAGCTTACTATCTATTGATTCTAACAGACAGACAATTTAAGTGTTCTTTATTTGCTCATTGTTATATTAAAAAATTGTGAGAAGAGCCATTTATCATATGAGTTATAAATATAAACAAACAAATAGCTTATGGAAAATGGATTCTTTGCATAGTTGAAATGTGAGAGGTAACATAATAGCAAGTAAGGGCGTATAAACATAATACCGAGGCATAAGTAAAGTACAGTTATTAGCGTATACAGTAATACAGGTCTTTACTATGGCACATCATTGGTATCAAAATTTTCGTGGATGCCGAGCTCGCGCTGCAAGTCTTCAACGTTTTCTTGCCCGCTCTGCGCAAGCATCAATCTCATAATGATATCAGCGAAAGATATCATCAATCTGTCCTCAGGACATTCTTCCTCCTCGTCATCCTCTTCCGCATCGTTTTCGATTCTCTCGAGAACCAAAGGCTCTTCCTGCTCATGTTGTTGCTGGTAATATTGCCTGGAATGGCCGTGCACCTTCTTGTAGAGTTTTTCAGCCGCTGGTAACTTGCGGGAAATGAGGTTTTGATATGCTTCCCCGCGTTTTTCTTCTTCTAATGCTCTATAGATTCGCTTACATCTATTTAAAACATAGGATTTAAGCTGGTTTTCTTCGTCCTAAAAAGCAGTTTTACATTGCAATCAGTACGTCAACCATATCTGACGTCTTTATACTACATAAATAGGTTTACCGATACAACAAAAGCTCCTCAGTAGCGCGTTCTACGTTCATGAACTGTCGAAGGGCACGGAAATCGACATCTGTGATCGCATCTGGTTCCCAAAATGAACTATTATCGAAGGATTTGATGTCATTGGACTTCACTTCCTGAAAGCTAGGATTCAGCGCTTTACTGGGGGAACATGCGATGCATAACGAAATTGCTAATGATGCTTTTGAGCGTTCTGTGGAATCTGGCTAGGGCGCGTCAATGACACGGAGTACATGCCATAGTTTAGACAGTATAAGAGTGTTCAAAACCATAGCCCTGCCACGCACCGATAATCCTCTTCCCAGATGTATGTTGCAATGGTTCTTAATCGTTGCGAGTAGATGATCTATGAAGGTCTGCAGTTGTGGGTTGGATGAGGAAAGTGGGTATCCTAGGTACACGATAGCGTCTGGCTTGGTGCGGTCATGGCATGTTGGAATGCCAAATTGTTGTAACCTTGTGTTCCAGTCAGGTTGCGGTAAACCACTGAAGGATATGGCTTGGGTTTTAGCCTTGTTGAATTTAGCATTGGAAGCTTGTTGGTATTTCTTTATATAATATACCACTCTGTTCAACATGGGAAGTTTGCTGAACAATCTGAACTTGGTATTCAAAACCAGCTGAGAGAACTATCTGTATTTGGCAAATTGTGTACCCAAACATAAGAGCGGCACCATTCATCAATATAGGTTGATCATAATTCATTTCTTATGAATATTGTCATTTAGCTATTCATATAGCTATTCATGTAGTTTTTCATATTAGTTTTGACGTTCGCGTTGTGGAGGTGGGAATAAGGGAGTTTTGTGCTTTCCTTGCTGCAATCTAGTGGTTTGTGATGCAGCAGGTTGTTGTGGTGAGGGGACTATGGAGGAAGGAATGGAGAAGACAGCGGATGACGAAGAAGTAGGTTTTTGTAGTAGAGCAGGAGCTGATGGAGGAATGAATGATAAAGGAACGGATAAAGAAGCAGTGGTAGATTGTTCGGATTCTTGTGGTGGAAGGGGCAGTTGGGATTGTTGACGAGTCGAAGAAAAAGATGGTGATGGCATTGGGATGGATGGTGATTCTGAAAGGAGTGGTCTACAAAATGATTTGATTAGAGAATGATAAATTGTATATGCTAGTTTGTTATTACTTACGTTAGATCTTAGAACAGCAGGATTTAGTTTGACCACTTCTTGTCCTATAAAAGCATACTTTAACATAATTTCGTATATGACTTACATTGACATGAATGACCCATCAGTTTGCAATGGTGCATGGAGAGCTCCTCGCCGGCTAGTTAGGTCCATATGACTCTATTATAATATAATCCACAAGATTCTGTTGACTATTCATTTGCTTACATTGCAGACCGAGCACCAAGCGATGAAACCAGCATCAGAAATATTGGTGTTGTTTCTAATATCATGACACTACATTTACCTGGTAATCGCGTTAAATATAACATGGATAAAATAATCTACTACCCTATGCTGTTCACATTGATCAAGAGGCAACTTGTACATGTATTTGACATTATCTTCGAATGTCTTCCATTCTATCCTCTTGACATGTTCGGGCACTTCGCGATATGTTTTAGCTTGTACCTCTGCAACCGTCCTTTATGAGCCTTGGACTCTTCGCTGAGCGAGTGGTACATGGCTACGGCCTTTTCTTGATCAAGACTACCGAAGCCTTTTAAAGATTGCACTATGTGCAGCTTGGTGACTGATCGGCTGTTACACACGTACTGTGCCTTCTGATCGTCTCACTTGGAAAGAGTAGAGCAGTATGCGAAGGTTGGTACGACTGCGCAATGCGTTCACGTACATCTTGCTCATTAGAGAGAAGTTGTTGGGGTTGTAGTCGCTGCGGATGAGGTTGTTGCTGCGGATTGAGACTTAACACGTTTTCAATGTTGGTCACGCTACTTTCCAGACGCAACGCAATGTCGCGAATCTCTGTAAGAAGAGTGAGGTACGGATCGTTTTGTAAAAACGTTGGATGCTGGAAGTGATTCATTCCTAAGAAATAGTAAAGTAAGTTAAAAGTAACTAAACAAAGTGGGGAAAAAATAGGAGTAAGATAATCAAACGCGTAAGAGGTCAGGTCCACAAGTCCAGTTGTAAGACGAGTAAAACGACAATACAACGGAATTCCACATGTACATCGTACACCTGAAAGTTCCATGCCTGAAGCACGCCTGAAGGAGAAAACATCTTGAATCCTGCTGGAATGCTCAAATCATCGCTGGTGGATAATAGATACTATTTATATCATCCTACGATGGTTCCAGGAGACATTAGTCTTACAGATCTTGCAAAGAGTTTAAATACACCTTTGTTGTAAAAATATTTTTCTCTCAAATGTTTTATCCTCCACAGTACGAATACGGAAGCTTGTGTTGCAGGAAGTGTTCAGATTGTTCAGTTTGTTCAGAAATTGTCCCAATAGGGGGTTTCAAAAACAAAGCTTCCTCGAGCGACCAAATTTTTCCTAGCGTAGACCAAATTTTTACAATAGGAGTTTATACATCCGTTACACATGTCCCCTCTACTATCTTCACTCCTTCGGTAGACCAAACTTCTCCCCACACCAATTTCAGATTTTTCTTACAATCTGTAATTCCTTGCGTAGACCACAAAAAAGTGGAAGTGTAATTCTTTGTGTAGATCAAAAAAAAAAAAAAATTAATAGTGATAGCAAACACTCCATTACAACTTGTTAGCTGCAAACACAAACACTCGAGAATTTATTTGAAACATTGCTGCGCCAGCTACTTCTTTACAATACGAAATTTTACAGCAACATCGAAATGTATATATAGTAGATCCTATGATATAATAACAATTATCTTTATATTTTACAGCCTGGATACTATGGATTTAAAGGCAAGAAAATTATCGCAAAAACACTCCAAGACATGCTGGTACACGAGATCGGTGCTGCGAATGAGCACATCAAACCGATAGATACCACGGAATATATAGACTCTTTTTTTGTTCCAGAGGTCGGTATGCGTCTAGTTAGGGAAGATCTTGAGTCGGCCGGTGAGTCAGAAGAAGATTGTGATTGCACCATTAGCCTAGCAGAAGAACACAGTCCCCTTAGCAATATGGCGCTTATCCACATAGAGCGTAGCGTTGACTACGGCTGTTTTAAATATCTAGATGACGATGACTCAGACAGTGAAGAGTAGGGCGACCAAGAGCATCATATACTCTGATGAATAAAAAGCAGAACCATACTTTATCTTCTCCAACATATCCCTATACACTTTCATTTAATCTTCTCTTTTTTTCTCTTTCTATATATTCTTCTAATAAATAAAGAAAAAGAATAATGGAATACAATGCAAACCTGCGTGGTAAATGGCTACCACTGGATATTATATCTCACTTACTGAACGTCACTACAAGGCAACATAATAAAAGTTGGTCTACACAAAGAATTACACTTCCACTTTTTTGTGGTCTACGCAAGGAATTACAGATTGTAAGAAAAATCTGAAATTGGTGTGGGGAGAAGTTTGGTCTGCCGAAGGAGTAAAGAAATTAGGGGTCGCAATCTGACCCGCGGGTCAAAACCGACACGCGGGTTGAGGACGGGTCAACGGGTCGGGTTGATGCTTTTCTGACCCGCGGGTCAACCCGTCTAACCCTTGACCCGACCCGTTGACCCGTTGTGACCCGTGTATACATATGATATCTATGAGGTACTTGTATTCAAGTAGTCAATCTTCTTGTTGGAAAGGATCATTATATTAAAGATGTAGTTGTCAATATGTCTGCTATAGAACTGTAACATAAAACGTACTTATATTCTTTTTCATTGTGGGATCATATTTTATATTCAAAAGTGTAAGATAAGTAAGCTATAAGCAATATATGTAATAGTAGTAAAGAAGTAGCAAAGTAAAGAAGTAGCAATAGTACAATGAGAATAGACAATAGAGAGTGGCAGTGAGAGACGAGATTTGACAAAAGACGTAGAAGGAATTAAGAAAAGAGAAATGAAAGAAGAAGGAAGAAATGAAAAGAAAAGGGAAAAGGAAAAAGGATTACGGGCATTTAAAGGAAGTCGATTTTTAACCACACTTTAACCATTATGCTTTCTTTAATGCATGTGAGCGCAAACGATTTCTTTTGTTATGGCACAAACCCTTTACCTTTAAGAATAATCACACAAAACGTAGATATTGCTAGCACTGCTAGGAATTTGCGTGCCATCATCTTAGAGAGCTGTGTATACATGTAGTTTTGCACTTCCAGTGCTCAAGCTCAGGTTGATTGACACCTCCTTTGTCACCAAATCAAAATCAGTAGTGACCCGTCAACCCGAGTTTTGACCCGTCGGGTTGAACGGGTCAGGTCGGGTCAGTGTTTTCTTGACCCGACCCGACCCGTCCAATTGCGACCCCTAGTAAAGATAGTAGAGGGGACATGTGTAACGGATGTTTAAACTCCTATATGTAAAAATTTGGTCTACGCAAGGAAAAAGTTTGGTCGCTCGAGCAGCTCTGTTAACAAAAGTAACCTGATTCCTGTTTACTTTTTCGTGCACTTTGGCTTCTTTTGTCCGTATTACGGCGGCTCCTTTACGGACAAATCAACAATGTACTAGACGAAAAAAAAACCAGAGTGGTGTGATTAAAAGGCAATTGGCCGTTGTGTGGCATCTTTCATGTGATCGTTTCTAATTTTTTTTTCATCTGAAAACGACGAAGCAAAATTCAAAGATGAAAATGATGACTACAACTGCTAATAGATGTTATTATACTTGAAACATTGTCTACACACTAGTTAAATTTGACGAACTATGCGAGTGTAACTGCTTTTTTCCCTTGGCTATTACAACCTAGATGGCAAGATGTTGAACTCTAACATTGAACAGACACCTGTATGGTCCGACATATTCAAGGAACTAAAGAGTACGAGTAGGTGCACAAGGGTTTGCTGGTTTTTTTGCATACAGACACATTGGCAGCTACTGCTCATGCTGATAATAGAGGATTTGCAGAATAAAGCTGTTATAAAGTTACAGAAGGTATTGTCAACGAAAATTACATAAAGGAAGTGGTATGTATCATCAGATTATCCATTTAATTGAATGACCTATTGCTTTGCAGTCTCGTGGGCTCACCTATTCCTCGTTAGTGTATATATTGGCTTAAGCATGTGTATATCGGATTAATTATATGAATATCAAAAAAAGGGAGTGGGGGGAAGTAAAGGAAGAAAACAGAGAGAAAAGAAAGAACGGGCAAGAAGAGACATTGTGCTACTAAGGTGGATAATGTCCAGTTAGGTCAAATGCTCAGTGTCAGAGTGTTCTGCTTCAGATCCAAATGAAAGAGAATGAGCGTCAAAATTCTCTGAAAGGGGTGGTTCCACTTGGATCATGCTTTCAAATGCGTTTTGGGAATAAGGGATACCATTGACCACCTCGGATTCTAGCACCACCATCTTTGCGGCCTTTACCTCGAGAATAAGGGTAGCAGGCAGGCCATTCAAACAATGCACCCAGCCTGAGCTGGATGAAAATGATATGGTCATAAATTAGCCACATAACGATTGGAGCTGTACGTATTGCTTGGGATGAGTGCTCATTAAGGGGCAAAACAACGAGGATTCGGTGCCAAAGAACGCTATAGGCGTGTTATAAGCATCCGAGGCAAGCTGAGCACACTCTGGGTAGTAAAACCAATGATGTGCGTTTGGATCAAGAACACCTAGCACCCTTTCAGCGTCGAAACCCTAAAGATACTTTTCCCGCGATTGTTGATAAAGAACTCGCGCATTCCGGCCTTGATAACAATATATCGTTTTTCATCTCCAAGTAAAGCAACAGCCAACGAGCGGGGACCACGATTTCCATCTGGATTCGGATTGTGCACTAAATCCACAGCAGTGCGAGGAATTGCATCGCAGACCATATCCAGGTTTGGCACAATAGGCCGATCAGCGAACGGAAAAGGTGATGGTAAAGGAACGGGCAAAAAGGATGACCAAAAAGGTAGCATTGTTTGTTGTTGTTGCTGTGGTGGCGATGACGGTAGTGGTATGGTAGCGATGTCAGCTTTAGCTTTATGCTTGCATTCCCTTAGTAATCGTTATCAAAAGGAGAAATGATAGTAGAGAGTATAATGGATAAAATAAAACAGGTATATAGCAATGTTGTGCTCTCGTAAGTTATATTAGTCTGGACAAAAGTTAAGACGCCGAGAAGCTAGTGCAGAGAACACATCATCGCATGGTAACTCTATCTGTAGTGATTGAGAAAGGCTTTTTCCTGCTTATCTACGTTCTGCTGAAACGGTAGCTACTGTATTGATATCAATCTAGTAAGGAGTTGATTTTGCTCTGCACGAGACACCAGCGAGTGTAATGGAGCAATATCTGATGTATGCTACGAGTCAATTTGGGGACTAGATCGTATGCACAATCCCATGCAGCCCAAAAAAATGCAGATCGGGCTTATCTAGAAGCGGCTAAATGCAGCAAGAATAGCTTTATATAATGAGCGAGCATAAAGAGGGGACTACGCAACAAACATGACGAATGAATAGTTACAATCGATAGCTATATTAATTGAAGATGCACAATCAATGGATTAAGCATCGTAGTATGGTAAATGAAGAAAATGTAGCGAGCAAACTTAGCAATTGAAAAGAACAGAGCAAGCAAATCTGATAGATAAAACAAACACAGCGAACAAATTCAACAAATGAAACGAACGTAGCGAGCAAATCAAACAAATGAAACGAACAAGACGCGGCGAGCAAATCCAATAAATGAAGTGAACGTGGCGAGTAAATCTAACGAATTAAGCGAACGTGACAAGCAAATCTAACAAATGAAATGAATGAGGCGAGCAAACGTTACAAACGCAACATACACAGCGGGTAAACGCTGCTAATTGAACCGCACATAACAAAATGAGAGAATGAAACTAACAGATGCAATAAAGTGTGAAGCAAGAAATAATAGAAAAGAAATAGAGGAATGGAACGAATGCATGATCCAATATAATAAAAAAGTGAGCACGTATATCAGACCGAATGCAGCAAATATATTTCAGAACAAATAAATTTAGCTAACAGATGTTAGACCCACTTATACAGAGCAAATAATTTAATGGCGCGAAAGCATTGATCCGGGTACAGTATACATAATGCATGAGCGTTAAACGATACTGCGCTATGCAATGATTACTGTCAGATAGTCAATTAAGCGAATGTTAAAAATTCGATTTTATTAATGACTCAATGAACGCTGCGCTCGTGAAAGCATTTCCGCTCTAGTCCGGGTCTCAAAAGCGAGGAATAAAAAACCCTGATCTGAGGAAACAGGGAAAAGGACGAAGAAAGAGAAAAGAAATCTAAGGGAGGGAGAGAGTCTATGATAAAGATATGGAAAGTGGATAGAAAAGGAGCAGGTTAACACTTTTGTGTTTTTTCCTATGTTTCTTTTGTTTATTTTTAAACTTATATATACTATACAGGAGCAGGAGGTGGAGAATCATTTCACTTGAGAAGGTCGACGCCAGGGTCAGCATCAAGATACTACTGTAGATCAGTGCCAGGGTGTTGGTGCGCATCTAGTTCAGCAAGTATTTTGCAGATGATAGGCCATGTGGCGCGTAAGTGCTGGATGCGTCGAGGTTATCGCGGCCGGGAGTGGGGCAATTGGTTTAAGATGTGGACATTGGGTCTGTAGTGCAGTTATGGCTGATGCGGAGGCGAGTATGCATGCGCAGACACTGAATCGCGTGTTGTTTGTTGAAGTCGGGGTGGCACAGCATTTGTATATGGAAGCTTCGACCCATCTTCATATGGAAGACGTGGGTAGGGCGAATGGCCGCAAAAATTTACTGCAATTGCAGTATTTCAAAATTACTGAGGCCCTGACGACGACGGATTCAGACAGCATCTACGAAGCCAACTTTCTCAATCTTATTACAAAAAACATCAACCACCAAAATTACTGATACAACTTCGGGTAAAGCAATCATCACAGGCAAGCAGCTACGACGACGAATGGTCAACAAGATTTGCTGTTTGGGCAACTATAATATCAGTGACTTGTGCATCAAAGTACTAATCGCCTGCGGCGCAGAGATAACATCGTTGGATGAAGCAACGGTACAAGCAGCAATTTTCTCTGCTACCAGAAGAGCCGATGCGACTGCAATATGGAAACTCGATAAAAGAAATCTCCCTTCTAGCTTGTAATACAACAATTCAGATCGAGCACACAACATGGCCGATGACTCTTCGAGTTGTCGAGCACCAAAATATAGCAGTAATGATTGGCATGGATTCGATGTTAGAAAAATCTCTCTTGCTAGTCGTAGACAATAAGCGGGCTTTGTCTAAATTGCACTTGAAAGCGCAAATCAACGCAATTTCCAATCCTGCACAAATTCCAAGCTAATGTTCCAATAGAAGTGCGAAAGCTTATGCAGGAAATGCCAAATCTGTCTGATGACACGCCCTTGAATGCATTAGTATGTCATCAAAATGATACTGGCGATGCAGACCTGTTCAGTGCCGATTGCTAAGAAGATCACCAAAAGAAAAGGCCGCCTTGGATCTGCAAATTCAGGAAGTGCTTAAACGCCGTGTAATCAAACCAAGCAACAGCCCATGGTGTTCAGTACCACTGTTGATCGCCAAGTCTGACGGCTCAAAAAAAGTTGCAATCAATTATAAACCACTGAATGCAGTAATAAAACAAGACAAGTTTCCACTGTGCCGCATCGAGAATTTACTCGACAAATTGCTTCCAGCAAAAGTTTTCTCCATCTGCGACCTCAAATATGGCTACTGGAAATTCCAATGCACGAAAATGACATACCCGAAACCGCATTTGCAACAAATCACAAACTTTGGGACTTTGTCGTATTATCATTATGCAGTAATCAATGGACTGTCTACCTTTGCACGTTTTGGACAACAAATTATAGGGCATCTCTATTACGTGAAGATTTATATTGATGGCATTTTAATATTTTTGTTAGATATGGCAACACATCTCAAGCATGTGGAGCACGTTTTGGACAACAAATTATAGGGCATCTCTATTACGTGAAGATTTATATTGATGGCATTTTAATATTTTTGTTAGATATGGCAACACATCTCAAGTATGTGGAGGACGTGCTCCAGATCCTACACAACATTTAATCTAAGCTCAGTATTCACGAATGCAAATTTATGGTACCAGATATCAAGTATCTTGGATTCATCGTGACCAATGGAGGTGTACAATCAGACCCAGAACATGTTGAAGCGATTGTGGTATACCCACGCCCAGTCAATACAAAAAAATCTACAGCGATTATAAGAAATGAGTTATTTTTATCACCGGTTCTTCGCAAATCTAGCCCACTTGCCGGCACCTCTATGATATACAAATTACTACAAAAAAGCGAGGAATGGCAGTGGCATACAAAGAAGAAGCAGCCTTTCAAGATATCAAATACGACTCATTGAACTTCCAATGCTAGCATATTATCCCGGCCCTAACTTGCCATACGATCTCCATTGTGACGCTTCGGATGTCGCCATTGGAAGTGTTTTGTCAAAACTCAAGACCAGTTGCCTATATGCTAGCAAAACGTTGGCACCAGCCAAGAAGAATTATAGCGTGACTGGACGTGAGGCGATGTGCGTAATTCAATCTTTATGGTACTTTCATTGTTATACGCATGGTGCCCAACCTACAGTCCACACAGATCATGCAGCAATGAATGCTATCTTATCGTCTCAAGCTCCAAAAGAGCGAATGTACGATGGATTATGGCGACAAAGCATTACAACTATACTTGCACTGCACGAAAAAGTGAATATCACCATGTTTGAATAACATAATCGTATAGGAAGTCCAGAGAACGACGCCTTATTTGGTCCACAAATTTTTTTTGGAATATAATTTTACTTCACTATTGTTGCGAACGGGAGGGTGAAAAAACAACTTGTTTTTACAGGACATTAAAACATACTCTTATTTGTATTTATTATGAAATTTGCACTTATCGCTAATTATTGATTTCAACCTTATCTGCAGGGTCTGTACGTTGTGTTGTATGTAAAAGCAACTTCGAGGGGTGAGGGGTAGGCTTGGTAAGGAAGTGTCAAATGTAAAAGCAAATTCGAGGGGTGAGGGGTAGGCTTGGTAAGGGAGCTCTTTTTTTTCTTCTTCTTTACTCTCTTTTCTCTTTTTTATTGTACAAGTTGAGGAATTGCCGAACGTTTGACACAGCCAGTGCGACAGTCGAAACAGTTGATTATCTCTTCCTTCGTCAGCAGGTCATGTCGCGAAAATACGTCGAAAGTCAATCCGCGATCCACCACAATCTCTTCAATTTGTGTAAATTTCCTATTTTTTAGTATCATATAAGTTGATTTTATCCACGGATAGCCTCATAATACGTCTACTCTACCTGACGAATGCACGAATGTCATTTGCCTCTGTGCTTAACCTGGTAAAATCTATGACTGCCAAACAGATGGGCTTGAACTTTGTTTTCAGCAATTGCATTAAAGCCGAAAAAAGAAAGAATGAGTATCTGTGCATTAAATAGAAAAGTCATTCACATAACTTGTCATATCCCTATTGCAGTTCTTAACCAAAGCCAGGTGATTTTTTTGGTTTCTGGTGCTGTCACAAGATTCCATATTTTCATCTGCGTTGCAATAGGGCGACACAAAAACTTTGGTGCACAGGCTTCTCGTGCGCAAACGATGAACTATGTTGCTTAGAAGGTTGCATCGAGTGCTAAGACGTTCTTTTCCTCCTTTTGATTTTCGGGCATAGCTGATTGTTGACATCGGATGGTGACGGCACTGTTGCTCGTATTTTGCAAGGTCCTCAATAACGTTGACATCCAAGTACTTGTCTAACAAGACCCACAGCCAGTATTAAACTTCTTTTTACAATCTTTCTATTTAATTCTAAACCCTTTAATCTGGCATACTCTAAATCACATTCCTCTATTTTCTTAATTTCTTCATTAATAGGATTTAACATTAAACTATAAAGATCATTAGGATCATCTTTCATATCAGATTCAACTAAATTAACTTTACTAGCTAGATCAAAATCAGAAATCATTGCAGCTAAATGTTGTACACCATTACATGTTGCATCTAAATAAATTAATAATCTAGAAATAAAGTTTAATAGATCCTTATTATAACCTTGTAACTCAAAACAAAAAGCTAAAAATAACATAGGTTCATCAGCTTTTCTCCATAATCCTGAATTTAAATCTAACATTTCTGAAAAATGTTGATCAACCCATTCTAATCTTTTGGTAATAGATAATTTATTTAATCCAAAAGCATTTGCTCCATAAACCTTTAATCAATTTAATCCATTTTCAGATAATACATCACCTTTTTTGAATAACTTTAATGATCTTGCTAATTTACCACCTTGGAGATTTAATTCACCCCCTTGGCAATAAACTCTTCCTCTCTAGTCTAAAAAGAAAGTAAAATAAAATTGTTCAACATCTCTATAAAGTTTAGCAATAGTTAAAATTAAATTATTATATAAGAATTTACTTTTATGAGATGTAATTTCAAATTCTTTTTCTTTATTATTCTTTTTAATAATCTCACTCATTTCATCTGTCTCCTTATGTAATGTTCTCATAACTAAATCATTATTAAGTAGCAGATTCATTAGAAAATCTAATACTTTAAGATTAATATTGAAACCAATAGATGACATATAATTAACCATTTTAATTGTTATTTTATTTATAAATTTAATATTTGATTCAGTAAATCTTCTACTTCTAATTAAAGGATTAAGATTCTTAATATTATTAGTAATATATTTACTATATGTCTTAAATTCTTTGTTATCATTTAATTCCCAATAAATAGGTGGATATACTATAGGTAATTCATGACCATCAATCATACCTAAATATTTAATATAGTTTTTCAATTAGTAACTAGGAATAATTTCTGTATGAGTTTTTTTACTTTAAACATCATTCATTCTAAGATATTAAAAAGATCACTTTTCATATCCAAATAACTAATAACAGTACCACCAATATTAATAAAATTCTCTTCATTCATTATAAAATTCTTCAAATATAAATTAAAAGTTACAATATCCTTAGATTTATCATCAACTTCTTTAATATATTTTTGATATAAACATTCTTTATATAAAGTTTTTCCTAATCTATGAAATAAAGTAGCAACTGATTGTTCTTTATTATCTTCATATTTCATAATAAAGGGGATTAACAAACTTAAAATCAAGAACAGCATCAAGGATTTATCTATTTCTTTAAACATAAAAAGATATTTTTTGTTTCTAATAAATTTTTCATTTTCAAAATACATTTTTTAATCATCTTCTAATAACTTATAGTTATTTAAAAATATTCTAAACCCAGGATTTGTATTTAAGAAATCCTTAGACTTACTCATTTTTTCTAGTTTTTTCAACCATAAAGAATGTAATTTTTCTTCTAAATTTAATTGTTTTTCTTTAAGAGATAAAGTATCGTTTGATTAAATTTCTTTAATAGTAATATAACCACTAGATTTTCATTTGTAAGAGAAAAGTCTTTTAAATCATTAAAAGTTGAATTTAAATATTATTTTCTAAAGGGTTTTTATTTATACATACCACTGAAGGTAATAAAGCTAAAAGTAAATTAACCGGAGTATTAATCCAGATATTACTAGTAATTAAACCATCAGGTGTTTTAATCCTAATATAACTTGAAATAAACTCTGTAAAAGAGTTTAAATCGCAGGTATTCGAAGGGAAGATAGGGCAATCGCTAAAAATATAGAATAAGTTTGTAAACATCATATTTTTAAAGTAAGTAATTAGATAGCATCTAATTTTTAGTAATGATTTATTTAGTTTCAAGATTAATTATCTCTACTTACAGTACCGCCACAAGGTACCGGGGGAGAGTTTTATAAAATAATAATAATAAATATTGATATCATGGGAGATTATTTATTATTTTTATAAAATAATAATAACAATCTTTTATATGAATCATCAACCCAGAATGACTCGTTTAAATAATAGCAAATAACTAAAATTCCAATATGACATAATAACATAATTATTAATAATACAAAATTATTCCAATCTCTTAATGAAATAATAAGGCAAACTAATTTATATAATAAAGGTCTATTCTTAATAAATTCTCGTTCTTCAATTTTAATTAGGCTACTTAACATACCTATAATTAAAAAGAAACAACCAAGAATTCCAATAAATGTAAATAGACAAACACATAAAGTTAAAATAGGAGTAGGATTTCCATCACTACCTCTAAAATATTCATTTAATAAATTAAATACATCTTGTGGATTTTCAATAAATTTTGAAATTAATTCTACAAAATTATTACTATTTTCATTTAGAGAATTAATTTTGAAGTTTCCATCTGGTGGAGGACTACCAGATCTTTTAATAGAGTGATAATACATTCTTTCACACATTTCTCTCATTTTTTTCTTTCTTCATAGTTATGATTCATCATTTCACCTAATCCATAAGTAGCAAAACCACCAATAGTACCAACAATACCTAAAAACAATCCATTTCTAGGATTTGTTTTTGCAATTTTAACTGCAGCAGTTATTGTTGTTCCAGAAATAATTCCCGCAGCAACTCCAGGAGAAGTAATTAGTTTATTATTATTAGAATTACTATTTGATGGATGATTTTTTGACGCTGCACCTCTATCTCCAAAATTAACATTAAAAGTATTTTTTAATGAAGGATTTATATTAGATGAATTAGGGGCAGAACTTATATAAATTAATAAACCTAGTAATAATAGACCTAAAGAGCCTGTAAAAATGTTAGAGAGATTATCATTAAAAAAGTGAATAAATCCTATAAAATAAAGATGAATAGAATCAACTAAAATACAGATGCAAATCTAAAATGATTTTTATCTGTAGAATAGTAATACTTATGTTTAATAAACTTAATAACAGATAGAATATTATTCTGTAATAAAGATAATAAGTTTGTAATAATCTATTACATCTATAAATAAGTATTTTAAACTAATAACTAGAAATAACCCAAACTAAGTTTCAAGTTAATCGTAGGATACGAAGGGGGAATAGGGCGATCACTAAAATTTTAGAAGACATTTTTCTAAACATTTTTTCAATAAATTAATAAAATTAGATAGCATCAATTAAATAATATTATAATAAAATTAGATAGCATCAATTAAATAATATTATTTTTTTAAAAAATAAAGACATTTAGTTTCTCATTAAATAATGATACTTATAGAATCTACCTCGGAAAGGCATGTCTGAATAAGATCCTATCTAGAAGGAAAGAAGTATGTTTGTTTTCTTTCCTTCTAAAGGAGGATATATAAATAACTGTTTCGTTTTAAACCCATTACCCCCCAGCGACCTTCCACTTTTTTGCCATCTAACTTTCTTGATGTACGTTCACCCCACACGTTACAGCTGTTGACCCAACCCTCAATTTGCTTCGTCGAGTTTGTGGCTGGTCCAAAGCGTTTTTCTAAGATAGATTTTTGCTGAGCTGACACTAAGAAGATGTGCTCGAATAGGGTATCGTTCGACAGTTGGTTTAGCAGCATGACTTGCTTCAAGTATTCCAGCA